TTTTAAATCCCGGGAACCCAGGATCTGAGCCCGATTTAATATTTTAAATATTTTCAATATTTTAAATATTTTAACTCGGGGCCCGGGGATTTAACATATTTAAAATATTTATAACATTTAGGCCCCAAATCAGCTTAAATATTTTAAATTATTTACATCGGGGCCCGGGGATTAAAAATATTTAAAATATTTAAATTATTTAAAATTTTAAATCGGCCCCAGCTCCAGAAATCAGGACCCGGGGAATTAAAATATGTAAAATATTTAAAATATTTAGGCCCCAAATCAGCTTAAATATTTTAAATATTTTAAATCGGGGGCCCGGGGATTTAAATTATTTAAAATATTTAGGCCAACAATGAATTTACATAGTTCAAATAGTTTAAATCGGGGGCCCGGGGATTTAAATTATTTAAAATATTTAAAATATTTAAATTATTTAAAATTTTAAATCGGCCCCAGCTTCAGAAATCAGGACCCGGGGATTTAAAATATTTAAAATATTTAAAAAAATTAGGCCCCAAATCAGCTTAAATATTTTAAATATTTTAAATCGGAGCCCGGGGATTTAAAATATTTAAAATATTTAGAATATTTAGGCCCCAAGTCAGCTTAAATATTTTAAATATTTCAATTCCCGGGAACCCAGGATCTGAGCCCGATTTAAAATTTACAATATTTTAATTATTTTAAATATTCTAAATATTTTAAAGCGGGGCCCGGGGATTTAAAATATTTAGAATATTTAAAATAGTTAGGCCCCGAATCAGCTTAAATATTTTAAATATTTTAAATCGGGGCCCGGGGATTTAAAATATTTAAAATATTTAAAATATTTAGGCCCCAAATCAGCTTAAATATTTGAAATATTGTACATCGGGGGCCCGGGGCTTTAACATATTTAAAATATTTCAATTATTTAAAATTTTAAATCGGCCACAGCTCCAGAAATCAGGACCCGGGGATTTAAAATATTTGAAATATTTAAAATATTTAGGCCCCAAATCAGCTTAAATATTTTAAATATTTTAAATCGGGGCCCGGAGATTTAAAATATTTAAAATATTTAGAATATGTAGGCCCCAAATCAGCTTAAATATTTTAAATATTTCAATTCCCGGGAACCCAGGATCTGAGCCCGATTTAAAATTTTAAATATTTTAAATATTGTAAATATTTTAAATATTTTAAATCGGGGCCAGGGGATTTAAAATATTTAAAATATTTAAACATATTTAGGCCCCGAATCAGCTTAAATATTTTAAATATTTTAAATCCGGGCCCGGGGATTCAAAATATTTGAAATATTTACAATATTTAGGCCCCAAATCAGTTTAAATATTTTAAATATGTTAAATCGGGGGCCCGGGGATTTAAAAAATTTAAAATATTTAAAATATTTAAATTATTTAAAATTTTAAATCGGCCCCAGCTCCAGAAATCAGGACCCGGGGATTTAAAATATTTAAAATATTTGCAATATTTAAAATATTTAGGCCCCAAATCAGCTTAAATATGTCAAATATTTTAAATCGGGGCCCGGGGATTTAAAATATTTAGAATATTTAGGCCCCAAATCAGCTTAAATATTTTAAATATTTTAAATCCGGGCCCGGGGATTCAAAATATTTGAAATATTTACAATATTTAGGCCCCAAATCAGTTTAAATATTTTAAATATGTTAAATCGGGGGCCCGGGGATTTAAAAAATTTAAAATATTTAAAATATTTAAATTATTTAAAATTTTAAATCGGCCCCAGCTCCAGAAATCAGGACCCGGGGATTTAAAATATTTAAAATATTTGCAATATTTAAAATATTTAGGCCCCAAATCAGCTTAAATATGTCAAATATTTTAAATCGGGGCCCGGGGATTTAAAATATTTAGAATATTTAGGCCCCAAATCAGCTTAAATATTTTAAATATGTCAAATCCCGGGAACCCAGGATCTGAGCCCGATTTAAAATTGTTTTCAATATTTTAATCATTTTAAATATTTTAAATATTTTAAATCGGGGCCCGGGGATTTAAAATATATTTAAAATATTTAGGCCCCAAATCAGCTAAGATATTTTAAATATTTTAAATCGGGGCCCGGGGATTTAAAATATTTAAAATATTTAAAATATTTAGGCCCCAAATCAGTTTAACTATTTTAAATATTTTAAATCGGGGCCCGGGGATTTAAAATATTTAAAATATTTAAAATATTTAAATTATTTAAAATTTTAAATCGGCCCCAGCTCCAGAAATCAGGACCCGGGGATTTAAAATATTTAAAATATTTAAAAATATTTAGGCCCCGAATCAGCTTAAATATTTTAAATATTTTAAATCCGGGCCCGGGGATTCAAAATATTTGAAATATTTAAAATATTTAGGCCCCAAATCAGCTTAAATATTTTAAATATTTCAATTCCCGGGAACCCAGGATCTGAGCCCGATTTAAAATGTTCAATATTTTAATTATTTTAAATAGTCTAAGTATTTTAAATCGGGGCCAGGGGATTTAAAATATTTAAAATATTTAAAATATTTAGGCCCCAAATCAGCTTAAATATTTTAAATATTTTTAATCGGGGCCTGGGGATTTAAAATATTTAAAATATTTAAAATATTTAGGCCCCAAATCAGTTTAAATATTTTAAATATTTTAAATCGGGGGCCCGGGGATTTAAAATATTTAAAATATTTCAAGTATTAAAATTATTTAAAAATTTTAAATCGGCCCCAGCTCCAGAAATCAGGACCCGGGGATTTAAAATATGTAGAATATTTAAAATATTTAGGCCCCAAATCAGCTTAAATATTTTAAATATTTTAAATCGGGGCCCGGGGACTTAAAATATTTAAAATATTTAAAATATTTAGGCCCCAAATCAGCTTAAATATTTTAAATATTTTAAATCCCGGGAACCCAGGATCTGAGCCCGATTGAAAAATTTAAATATTTTAAATATTCTAAATATTTTAAATATTTTAAATATTTTCAATCGGGGCCAGGGGATTTAAAATATTTAAAATATTTAAAATATTTAAGCCCGAAATCAGCTTAAATATTTTAAATATTTTAAATCGGGGCCCGGGGATTTAAAATATTTAAAAATTTTACAATATTAAGGCCCCAAATCAGTTTAAATATTTCAAATATTTTAAATCGGGGGCCCGGGGATTTAAAATATTTAAAATATTTAAAAATATTTAAATTATTTAAAATTTTAAATCGGCCCCAGCTCCAGAAATCAGGACCCGGGGACTTAAAATATTTAAAATATTTAAAATATTTAGGCCCCAAATCAGCTTAAATATTTTAAATATTTTAAATATTACAATTATTTTAAATCGGGGCCCGGGGATTTAAAATATTTAAAATATTTAGAATATTTAGGCCCCAAATCAGCTTAAATATTTCAAATATTTCAAATCCCGGGAAACCAGGATCTGAGCCCGATTTAAAATTTTAAATATTTTAAATATTTTAAATATTGTAAATATTTTAAATATTTTAAATATTTAAAATCGGGGCCAGGGGATTTAAAATATTTAAAATATTTAAAATAGTTAGGCCCCAAATCAGCTAAAATATTTTAAATATTTTGAATCGGGGCCCGGGGATTTAAAATATTTAAAATATTTAGGCCCCAAATCAGCTTAAATATGTTAAATATTTTTAATCGGGGCCCGGGGATTTAAAATATTTACAATATTTAAAATATTTAGGCCCCAAATCAGTTTAAATATTTTAAATATTTTAAATCGGGGCCCGGTGATTTCAAATATTTAAAATATTTAAAATATTTAGGCCCCAAATCAGCTTAAATATTTCAATTATTTTAAATCGGGGGACCGGGGATTTAAAATATTCAAAATATTAAAATATTTACATTATTTAAAATTTTAAATCGGCCCCAGCTCCAGAATCAGGACCCGGGGATTTACAATATTTAAAATATTTAGGCCTCAAATAAGCTTCAATATTTTAAATATTTTAAATCAGGGACCCGGGGATTTAACATATTTAAAATATTTAAAATTTTAAATCGGCCCCAGCTCCAGAAATCAGGACCCGGGGATTTAAAATATTTAAAATATTTAAAAGATTTATTTGAGCAGCATTGGGCCTGAAATTGCGCCATATATGCAGGAAAGGGTCCCGCGACACATTATACATACTCTACCCTCTTACACCCCCCCCCCCCCTCACATTTGTCATGTCCAACAGTCGGCGGATTTTGGAGTGGGGCTGACGTGAATCTCCAACGACGGTGAATTTCCTTTCTTTGAGGCGTGGCGAGGATCAAGTCTGGTCTTGTGACCGTGTACACAACGGTGGTTCTGCCGTTCCATAGTTCATTTGGCAGTGTCTTGAAATTGGCCACGCCCACACAAACGGAGGCTTTCCTGTGTTCCTGTTTTGCTGGAATTCGATCCGTGGGATCTTTGAAATTTGGGGCACGAGGGTGGCGGGAACTGTGCGGAATACTTTTTAAGGCTTGACCCATGGCGATTCGTGGTCAATTACATTTGCATACTTGCACCAACATCAGATCCAATGGATTCTTGCTCTCGAATTGGTGGTCGTGAATTTCATAGGGTTGGTGGAGACCTACAGTGACAACTCGGCCTCCCGGATTCATTTGGGTGTGGCTCCGGATGAAGGATCCAGTTTTTTTGCACAAGCTGGAGGTTGTGGAGTGCTGTTGTTCGCTGTGCAGCCTCCGTAACTTGCTGACGGAGCCCTTGATCAAATGCCTCGTTGGTTCGTTTGGGGGGTACAGCCCCTTGGGGATTCTTCACAGGGAAACGTCAGGGTCAACCTCCTAGCGGCCGCAGGGCAAAATGGGGACTTCTTTTTCACTTGACGTGCGAGGGGAACTGGCATTGAGGGTTTTCCATACAATTTCATTTCCATGGTTGGCCTGGGCAAACGGAGCATCATGTATGGGCAATTTATAGCTACGTCGCTCGGCTAGGGATTGCCCGGTCCGCCTTTGCAGGACGAAGAGCGGAGCTGCGTAATCTGCTTCCAGGACAACCTGGAACTGGGACAGATGGGCATCACCCCCTGCGCCCACTACTTTTGCCTTAGCTGCCTCCACCAGCAGGTGCGGGGCCAAAAGGCAAACATGCAAGCGTCATTTGTGTGAGCGCTTGATGTCTCATGGCTAGTGATTTGAGTAAGCGGCATTTATTAAGTTGCACTTATTGAGTATTGATGAACGGCAACTTAGGAATACGACACCGCGTGGCCATCCCTAAATCACGCTTGGCGCAATTGTCCCTCACCCGTTGTTTGCTTCAGCATGCTCCGGGCACCAGATGAATTCTAGTGACCCATCTCGAGCTAGTGGCCTTTGCCAGGTGGAGCAGGGTGGGACCTGCGGAGTCTGCCGCCGCCCGATGACCAAGAAGGACATCCAGCCACTTATGCAGGAGATGGCTGAGACAGAGGCGGCTCAGAATTGGTTGTTCAAGCAAACTCCTGTTAAGTGTCCCTTGAAAGGGGGCCAGGGGGTGGTTGTTTGATAGATTTGCCCAACCCTGGCAGAAAGAAGCGGCTTCTGTGATCGGCTGGGGGATCTTGTCTTGCAGATTCGCCTACTTATTATTTGTGGTTGACAACCATCCTTTGGATGAGAACTGATCATGACACGACCATGCCGATGGTCAGGATTAGGCAAATTCAGTAAATGGCAAGCGTAGACATATACGTCTTTTAATGTGAAATATTCGTAGGATCAATCAGAGACCCTGCTCTTGTCACCGCTGTTGTTCGTGTGCAAAGCTTGAATCATTGAAGCCAACAATCCACTCCCACGAATCCATCCATATTGCAACATTGGACCTAATTATTTTTCTGTGTATTTTATATATGACACCTTTGGGACGGACTCTACGCCTTGAACCCCCCGGAGGCGCCTCTTGCAACGGGCAGCGCCGGAGCCTGGCAGAAGTTCGGGTCAAAGCTGGGGAAGGCCGAGCTGAAGGAAGAAGCTTTCGTTTGGGTCGGTTGGGTGTGGCTCACAAATAAAGACCCAGGGTTACGCAGGCTTTAGTCTACTTTTCCATTTACCAGGGTTCCATTTTGGGCCCCTATTTTTGACCCACAGCCAGTTGACGTTGGCAACTTGTTGACTTGGTTTGGTCTGTTGGTTTGTTGACCTTGGGCTTTGGTTTCGCTTTTCGTTTGTCCTGTTGAAGGGTACCCTCCTTTAAACAGGCTGTTTTAAAAGGCTGTCATAGGGAAATCGGCCGCGTTCACCCATTTAGAGACAGAACAAAAGTCAAGTTTTGGTAGCCCCTCGGCGACACGCAGCAACCGGGGGATCAGGTGGTGGAGCTGTTGTGGGAGATCAAGGCCAAAGATGCTGCTGCCGGGCACCCCGGTTGGCTTCGGCACACCTGATCCTATGGGCGCCCGTCTTTTTTTGGGGGACCCCGGGGTGCATTTTTGATGCTTCCTTTTGACCACGGCGTGGCATTGCACCAACACAGTTTTCGATAGGTTTTTGCATGCTGGGCAATTTGGAACGGAGGCGCGGAAACCAGCTGCACTCAATTCCATGCAAAACTGCAATGTGCAGGAGGGAACCATGACCATAGAGTTGATACATGTGCGTTGTCTCATCTGGCTACGCAAGTAGATGATGTCAGAACGAATGGGAGTGTGCCTGAGGCGAAGTGCATCGTGTTCTGCCAATGGGACAGCCTGCTGGGCAACATCGCCGCGGCTTTCAAAGACTTTGGGATCCGCTATGCCCGGCTACACGGCTCGGTCTACGCAAAGACGCGGACCTTGGCGAACTTTCAGGGTGCCAACTCGAATGTGGACGTGCTGCTGCTGTCGCTCGAGCACAGCGCAAGCGGAACAAACCTGACATGCGCCAACCACGTGAGTCTTGGCAGCAGTGAGCCTTTTGTGCCGCCAGGAGGCTAATGGGACTGGCAGAGTCAGGGCCCAGGTTCTGGACTGAGATTCCCTGAGGTTTCATCTTATTGCTTTCATCTCTTCCAAAAACATGGCCTCAAATGCATTGGCAATTCCGTCACCCCAAGCTCTTGAAGTATTTATATAAAGGGAAATCAAGAAGGAAACCCGGGCGATTGAACGACTCCTATTTAACCCAATTTGACAAACTCCGATATGGCCATGACGTTTAACACAAAACCAGCGAGATGATGTCCGCCAACGGGTGCCCTATTAAGATTCATAACTGTATCTCCAAATATCCAAACAACAATTTGTTTTGAACCAGTTGATTTTCGTTTGTTGCCCCTTTCAATCGTTCACCAAATGGGGGTCTGACTCCCGTTTGGGTGTGTCTTATTTGAGGGTGTACCCCTTGTTGGCTGGTTTTAAAAGGAACCAACAGGCAAACCGCCATCTTTTTTTTGGGGGGGGTCCAAGCCTGAAAAAAGACAGAGATACCCCCCGTGTCGCCTGAGGATTTTGGTGCACCCCATGAATGCCAACACCCGGGAGCAGTCTGTGGCCTTTGAGCTGCAGGCCATCGCACGAGTGAGACGCTGGGGCCAACCCCGAAACGAGGCGCGACCGGGGACTCAGGGCGCGGGACCGTGGCTCGGGCCCAAAATGGAACCCTGGCAAATGGAAGAGTAGAGTAAAACCTGCGGTCTCACCTTTTCAATTTGGAGCCCCTATCCTCCGGAAAACGAATTGAAGGGTAGTTTCAGGGTTCTGGTGGGATGCTTGCCAAGGTTCGAAGCTACTTAAACAGTTAGTAATGAGAGGAAACTTGGGCGATAGACTCGCTAAAAACCAGGTTGGATTATGACTCGGGGGGGTGGGGTGGAGTTTAGTGGTATGGCCTTGGTGACCTTGAAGACCGTTGACCCAGCAACTAGGTTGAATCAGTTGGGCATGTCTGTCAAATACGGATTTGACCCCAACATGGGTGGTTTTTCTTGCTTCCTCTTTGACCCTACGCGTGGTTGCGCACATTCAAGTTGAACTAGAGGGGGGGCTGCCATGGCTACTAGGCAACTGCCTCGATTTTTTGTTGCCCTATGCTTGGAACAGCTTGTGGAGCTGGATGCACACGGTGCAGGAACTTCAAAATCCAAGTTGTCCTCCATATCGTCCGCCAGAAGAAACGGGATCAGTGTAAACCTTTAATTCAGCGCATGGCCTTGACCACTAGGGTCGGTCTTCACAGATCTGGACCATGGGCCTTTCAATGACTGACAGACCTGTTCCTTGACATTCCTTGACCGTTGGAGGGGGCCAAAAGCCATGGGTTTGTCAAGTCGCACTTGCAAGCTCCGCCAAGCACACACCCAAGGCCAAGTGATTCTACTCGCCATTGTTATGGTAAAATGGAAGCGCGACACCTACAGCCCTTGCCAAGCTGTGAAACACGCCGACAAACCTTGCTTAGGCTTAGGCAGTTGTCATGCCCGCCGAGGTGCATGTTTGGCGCTTCTGCACTTTGGGCACCATTGAGGCCTGGGCTGCTCTGGGCGGAGGGAAGGCTCGAAGATGTCTCGCGCAGGAGGAGCTGACGAAGGAGCATCAGAAGGCCAGTGGGCAGGGCAATGTCAGCGCCTCTGTCAGTTGGGGGGGGGTACCTTTCTGACGCATGGTATCGGCCAGTCTTGACGGGATTCCCCTGTACACAATGGCGTTAGCTTTGCGTGCTGCTCTTATGCGTTCGAGCATTTCACACTTTGATATGTTGTTGTCTTTTTGTAATGCCGCGACCTCTCGCGGCGGGAAATCCCTCCGCCGCCGCTTTTTGCGCCCTCACCGCATTCTGCAGGACATGTACGAGAGCAGCGAAGCCTTGGAAATGCCGCCGCCCGAGGCCTGCAGTGTCTCAGGGATTTCCACTTTTGTAGTTCAAGGGTGTAGGTTGAGCTTTTTCCATCTGTGAAAAGAATTCGGCCACCTCACGCACTGATGGGATTTGCTGGTCTTATTCGGGTCCTCAATTCAAGGGTGCTTGACTGTCAGGCGCCCGACAAACCTCCTGGCAGCTTGGCCTGCAGATGGGCATGTCGTGCTTCACCGCTGGAGATTAATCCGGAGGGCCATACTACTCAGACAACTCCTTCCCCCTAAAATGAATCTGTTCCTCGCTATTTGACACTAGTGTGGTCCTCTGGATTCATTTGAATTTGACATACTGGAACATGTGTTTCTTTCGGAAGGCCCTTTGGGGCTTTCCACTTCTCCCAGATGCGGTCAGATTAGACACGCGTCCCCTTGCCAGAAGATGCAGCAGATTCTGGCATTTCTTGCCACGGGTGGGACTGTTTTACCCTCCCACTGACCGGGTTGGTGCTTCGTTGAGCAAAGCTGGTTTGGGCACTTCATGATTTCCATGTTGGTGGGGTGGGAAGAATGTGTTTGTTGAAGCTCCGCTTGGAAAGACAGTTTGCTGAACAATTGTCTTGGAGCGCTCCTTGAAACTACTTCAAGAACATACGCGGGTGGCTTTTTTCAGGTTGGATCCCCCAACAGGGACTTCCCTTGAACCCCCTTCCCCCCCAAAAAAAATGAGAAAAATAAAAGAAGAAGTACCATCTCAAAAAAAACATTACACAACAAAATGTTGTGGGACCAAGTTTGGCGCGCCAGGGCCTCCGGCCAAGCCGGCGGCCAAGGGAAGGAAGAGGAAGAAAGGCGCGAGATGGGGATGGGATCTCCGATGGGCGCGGGTTTTTTCGCAGTGCAACGCTGTTCACCCATGTTGAGAGCGGCATCAAAAGGAACACCCCGCCCCCATGTTTGGGATCCCCCCTATCTTGACACATGCTCAAATTGGAAACCACCCCCCAGCAGGCCTTTGGTTACCTGCTCCCGCTTGGGATTCCCTAAAGTACGATCACAAACGGCACCAGATTTGGTACGTTTCCCCAGTTCCTCGTACTTCCCTTGGCAGACGCGATTCAAACCCTGCGCTTGTACCCAGCTTTTCCGGGCAGCCGGTGAATGGCTGTGAGTGGAGGTGTGCTTTTTTGGCATGGAGCTTTTGTGCGGATGTTCAGGCGTCGCAGCTGACAGATTGCCTTTTGAAGCAATTGCGTGTGTTTTTGCCTACGGCCGTTTTTTGCTCAATTTGGTTGTTAAGCGCAATCTCCCCAAATCTACCGGCGAAAATTCCGACAAACAGGCGAACATTCCCGACCAACAGGCGAACATTCCCGACTGCGGCGCAAACAAATATGTGACCGCCGGCGTTTTTTCGCCCGAAAAGCCTTTGTTCACGCAAACGACCAAAGCACGTTTTTTGGCCAACACCTAAGATTTTGACCCCCGGGCAGGTGGGTCCAGGTATGCAGCTTGGCTCGCTGCTTTGCAAAAGGCCATCGACTCTGTTCCACAATCCCTGATATTTGCCAGCAGTCTACCAATTCGAACGGTCAAATTAGTAAATATTACATACAGCGGAGTGTTTGCTTATGTTGTACTGCTTCACGTTTCCAGGTTTCCTTCATTTGGTTCATTGTTTCACCATGGACTCGCCTGTTTCTGGGACTGTCCTCCAATCCCTTTGAGGAACCCATGTGGATGCCTGATGAACTGGGGGCTGTGCCATTTAAGAGGGGATGTTCACTTGGGGTGAGTTGCTACCCCCCCCGGAATCCGCAGGGTGACATTGGGCTGCCCGACATCCCTTGCCAGGTCCGGAAAACCAGCGAGGAGCTCAGAAGTGTCGGAGTTCCTTTCTGGCCACAGGAATATGACTTGGATGGATTTTTTTGTTGAGATCTAAGATGGTTTCCACTACCCAATGAGGTGTACAGGCACTTTTTGTGTATGTAGCCACTATATGAAAGATATGTATGTGTGTGTGTGTATATATAGACATTGCCGACTTTCCCTTGGTGGTTTGGGGGTATTGGTCTGAGAGGATTCGGCTGGGAATGTTGGAGCGGCGGGCTTTTGCTGGTTTCGTGTTCCAGCTCCAAGCAGATTAATTCTTCAATTTAGTTTAGCGAGCGAGACGTGAGAAACGGCCAAGAATGCTGTCTGAGATGCAAGAAGATGGGGACCCCCAGTCGCCCCAGTCCTCTTGGAGAACAGCATTGTCCGCTCGCTGTTGGCACACAGGTTACCTGTCAAGGTGAACAATGACAGCGTTTTCTTTAAACTGGAATAGTCCCAATGGCATAGTATGTTTAGAAGGTTCGCCGCTTTTTACATTGTGCACTATGCCTCAGAATAAATCGACAAATGCATGGAGAAACTCTTACGACAGGTGTTTCTTCTTCAACTGTGGACCACAACAGAGTGTAATTCACTCGCGACTACTAGATGTTTTCTGCGTACACCACTTCTCTAACACCTAACAAACAGAGGGTTACAATAATCACACCACAACATACCTTGAAGCAGAAAACAATAGTTGTTTCATTCCACCAGATGCAGCGAGCTTGCAGAAAAGCATTTTGCTCCCCGCAAACTGACGTGGAACCCATAAAAAGGGGTCCCCCCAAAAGTCAGATACTCTAAACATGTTAATTGGCAGGGACGTACGTGCGATGCGGGAACTCGGGGATGGACATAAATGGGAGCACATGAATAGCTTGCTTTCGCCACAGAATCGGACCTGCCGCTTTGCCCTTTGCACAACCCAGGTGGTCGACTTGACCCGGCCTCAACATGGACGCATCAAACAGATTCCCAAAGTGAAGCCGCACCCGCACAATCCGTGTAGCTCATCTATATTATATATTATATAATATAGACACGTGTGTGGGTAAGTATTCTATGCATGGAGTGTTTGGAAAAGATGTTCTCCGACTTCCAGTGGTTTCAGGTGGGCATGTGCCCGATGCACCTTGCGGAACGAGCCGGGCGCGCTGATTTGCGCGGCCTGCGAAGGCAAGCGCCCAGGCGAGCACATGGTCAGCGGGGTGGGGTTAAGGGGCGGCCGAAAACATCGGAGGAAGCTGGGTGGTGTCAAAACGGGACCTTCTTGGACCTTGGGGCCGCCTTGTTTCGCCCGCAGAAAAGGGGCTACTAAGAACGACCACTAAATTTGACACTCCCCGAACTAGCTGGTTCAGGGTTTTCTGGCCCATTTGTGTTTGCCATCCGTTGCTCGGCAGCCATGACCGTGAAAGTACTTTATGGCCGGCCTGGAACTTGGGCCTTTGCGTGGTAGCTGATTGTGTCTTTGGCAATGCCAGAGTTGACATGGAGCCTTCCCGGCTCAGTTCTTGATGGGCGCTAATCGTTACATTGTTGCCTGGATTTGTCACCCTGCATGATTCTAGCCAGATTATGGCGGGCCCATCTGCTAGTTCCAGTTTGGATCTTGCAGTAATTCGCGCAGGTTACTTGGCGTGTGTTTGTTGTACCAAGATCACTGTTCAGGGAGTGCCCCCCAATTCATCAACCCAGGGTTGTCTACTCTTCTACTTGGGATGTCCAAACCTTGATTCTCTACGAGGAGCTATGCCTTTATTCCAAAGACGGACACTCCGAATGTATGGCTGTGAACTTAATCTGGCTTGCAGCACCCGTGCACTGGTCATTGCCCTCCACTGGTATAGGTGTAGACTGAGTCGGGGCGAAATCAGCGACCCCCACGAGGGGAGCCTGCGTGGATGTTCGGTCACGCAGGACTGGAAGGCCTGGAGGCCAAGGCGTTCAAGAAGCTCAAGGCGAGCTGGCGAGGGCATGGAACAAGGGGGTGCTGGTCGTTTCCACTTGCCAGGGTTCCATTTTGGTACAATCTTTTGGAGCCACAGCCATAACAACAAACCAAACATAAGGAGCTCTGTTTAGTTTAAACCAGTCTTCAACTCATGGAGTGGGGCCCATTCCACCGACCTCGTCGACCTTTTTTCCTGGCCCCCCTTATTGAACAAAGCAACTGGTGAAACAAAGCGACAGGAAAAGGCATGCACAACCAGGGCACGCCCAAGTTTGGCATGTCCTGCTAGGGGAACAAGTCATTTTGTCTGGGGTGCATGCGTTCATGCGAAGTTCGGTCAAGATATCCAGTCTAGGCTCGTCAGGATTTCATTGAGACACACTATGTTGCATAAAATGGAACCCAAAAAGAGAACGCGTTCCCAAAAAGGAGATTCAGCTCCAAAACATCAATTTGTGAGGGTTTCTTCTGTTAATCTGCTGGAGGGCAACGTTGACTCCTACATCACCCCTTCCCTATCACGGGCTCCTTGTCTATTGGGGATAGCTTGCTCGCAGGAATGTCCACCCCCAATTAATGATTGGTTTTTGCAAACATCCAACCTATTCTGCACACAATAACCACACGTGCATCGCATACCTTCTGGCTCTCATCGAGTTCCACTGAGAAAATTGCCCAGTATTCAAGCGTTTGTACTGGTGGCATCCTGAAGCACGTCCAAGGCTCGTTTGGCAATTGGCCCGCCCTCTACAGCAGTGTTCCAAATGTCTTGTTCACGATTGCTCTCCTTTCATTGAACGCTTTTCACAATGGCAAATGGGATCTTGAGCACTGCTTCCGAGCTGAGATGGGAAGCCTATTGATGTGTGCGGAGACAGGTGTATGCGTGTGTGAAGTGTTCCCGGTGAAGGGCAATTAGCCATCGTGAGCCAAAAGGTGGAGGCCCCTTTGCAAACGCCTTGAAGCTAACGAAATGCTGGAAGCGCCCGAGAATCACAGGAACATGTGAGACATCAAGAGAGGCAGGAACTTGAACACATCATGAATCGCTGCTGTGTTTCGGCCGCACTCATTGGCCAAGATGAAATGCGGTGTCGGAACCCACCGAAATATTCGTTGCCTCTTGCCCGCTTGCAGCATGCTGTAGCCCGTGTTTCATGCAAGTGCTCAGATTCCTAAAACTAATTTTGAGAACACCAAAAAGACTCACACACACTCCATAAAGCGAAATATTTACCCACATGTATCAAATGTTGGGTTTTTCTGTAACCTAAATTTTGTGGGCCCCAGCCCCGTCGACCGAATCTCAACGCACATCCTGAAGGTCCCGGACAAGGAGGCGCCCATCGATTTGAGCCCCAGCAGTGAGCCAGAGCCCTCCAACTCGAGCGGCCAAGCGGGCAAAAAGCGCCGAACGATCTGCGCGGCTTCTGTCTTAAGTGTTGACATGGGGGGGGGGGTTCTCAACAAATTATTCTGGGATCCTTTTGGGGGGTGGTGTCCCTCTATAAAATAAGAAGATAGTTTTTTTCCGGATGTCACTTTGGACCCCGGCCTTTGGCTTTTTCCGGATGTCACTTTTTGCTTGGAGAACCTCAGGGTCGTACGTCTACCTCGGTACTGCCCGTCACCGGGTTGAAGGCCACACCTTGGGCCTTCCGGTTTCCAAATCCCGGAAAGGGGCCCAGGTTTGTCCAATCCCGCGCCGGCCTTTTGCGTTTTGGGTCCATGAAAAAGGTTCGGTTCGGCGTCAAGCAACCACAAGGTTCCCGACGGAACAAGGCGGGACCTCACCTGTTTGGTCACAAATTTCCTGATTCCTCGGTCCATTTGATCAAGAACACATCCCACAAAACCTGGACGAGCCCTAAAATTCATGTCCCAAGTACCCTCAAAACCTGTCCTACGGTGGATGCCCTAAATAACACCCGGTAGTTTCCCCATGGTTTGTGTCTGGTTTACTTGCAATATTTAGCGCATCCATCGTAAGTGGCCCAAGCGTTAAAGCTTCACTTGGGACCTTCGGTGGCCGAGGCCTGGGTGGCGCCTCAGCAACATCCAGGCCGCGCTGGCGGCAGGGGGACCCACCCGCTTGGTCCGTGCCGATGGGGTGAGGGGCCACACCCAGGCTCCAGGTACTTTGGCTTTTTGGAAGTTGCTCTCATTGGGGACTTTGGGTTGGCTTCCTGATTGAACACCCCGGAACATGGAACCCAACAAGAAATTCCCCAAAAGGTGACTCCTTTGAGGGTACCTGGACCCTCAATCACCCTTCGTTTTTGGGGTGGTGCTGTGTTGCATTCATTTTTGGGGTGTTTTGTTATTTTGTGGGGTGTTAGTTCCATGTTTGGGTGTTTTCGTTTTTCCCATGCGCTGCTTTGTCAACCCTGCAATTTCGCTAGCGGTGTGTTTAACTTGTTTGAATTAACAACGTTGTTGTTCACTTCGCAGGGCTTGCTTGAAAGATACAAGTGCCAAGTCAAGCAGCGGCGCGGACCTTGCTGTCACCCAATGTCAAACCTCCAGGTTCAGCTCAGCTGCGCAATGCCTTTGATGTTGGCATGGAAGAAATAATCAAACATAATTTGACCTTGGCCCAAACGGCTTGAATGCCAACACAACACAAGGGAAAACAAAAGCCGCGTTATTAGCCTTTCATTTTTGTGTGAGAAATGCATTTGTGAGTTGCACAAGTTAAGAAGGCTGCCCCGTTGCGTGCTGCCTAGTGTTGGAGCCGATCACTGAGCCGCAAGGCATCCAAAACCAGGTTTCCTTTGGAAGCGAGCAGGTGGCTTGGTGCACCACAACTCAAACTGATGTTTAGGAGGGCGCCGCGACAATGCAAAGAACCAACATCCCTTAAAACAGGAGTTAGCCATTTCGAGTTGTTTCTTCTAGTGTGTGCGGTGTGCTTTGCGCGGCACACATCACAAACGGTTTTTCATGGCAAAACCCGGTCTTCTAATGGCTTGAAACAGTGTGCCCTGCGCAGTTCACCGCATGTTCATGTAATGTCACTCTACTTTCACGACAGTAGAGTCCAAGAAGGTATAAGTTCAATGAACAAATATTGTCGCAACAAATTCAGAAGGATAGCTTTCGCAGATTTTGTAGCAGCGCGATGGGAGTGATTCCGCATTTGTCCACAGCTCTGTGCCCTTGGGCCATGTGCCCAAAGTTGTTTCAATCTACAAACAGCACAAGAAACATCTTAATTCTGCATGATGTACAATACTTTGCAAATTCGGGTATTTTCTGTTTCACCATGCCTCATAGATGATCAAGTTCACATGTTGCTTCAACGTTGGTTCTCTGGCTAATGCGACTCAGCGCAACATGTACCAGTTGACCTTAAAGTTGATGTCCTGAAGCAAGCATACAGCCAAAGGGTCCAGTCTTTATATGATAGCAGGCAAGCTTGCAACACCTGCTATTTTGCAAACGGTAGCTGTCACTAGCAATTGAATGGTCGTTCCGTAAGCTCAGTATTCTGCGAACAATAGCTGCCACTGGCAATTGAATGGTCGTTCCGTAGCGTCCACCTAGGATCAAACGGGTGGCCCCCCACAAAATGCACCTGGAATAAAGACAGGCACCCGCCACCCCCGCCCAAATGTTCTGAACGAAAAGTATAAGGAACATGACAAAATGGAACAACAGAGAAAGAAGAGGAGATGTAGCCAAGCCAACACCTGGTCCTTAGATCTTTGGTACCTTGTTCTTCAGCTCCCCAAAAATCAAACTGTCCAGCTGCCCAAGAAGTCATGGTTTCTTACATGTCTCTTGTTTAAAAACTGCCCGCAATCAAACCTGCAAAGGGGGTGGGTAGTACTTTAGGCCCCCAAACTTGAGCCCAAGACTTTATTTCAGGGGCCCCTACAATAAAGTCTTGTTGTTTGGCCCCCTGCAAATATACAACTAGCCCAGTGTAACTACCTATGAAGCTTCGGGCTTTGTTGTTAGATTTGGGCCTGCTTCCCAAAATCAAACATGTCCAGCTTCCCCAAGCTCTTGTTTTCGTGCATGTCTCTTGTATAAAAACTGCCTACAACCAAACCCACAAACAACCTAGTACTTCACCCCCAATTTGACATTATTTCAGCGGCCCTTGAAATACAGTCTCGTTGCCTGCCCGCGGCTGCCCGCGGCCAAAAAAATATCAAGAGGAAGCTCCAGCAATACAAAATCAATTGGAAACTAAGTTCCAGATCTCAAAAGGAAGCTCCAATGCTAAATCAAATGGAAACTCAATTCCAAGTCTCAAAAGGAAGCTCCAGCAATACTAAATCTTATGGAAACTCAGTTCCAGATCTCAAAAGGAAGCTTCAGCAATGCTAAGTCGAATGGAACCAATTTCCAAATCTCAAAGGAAGCTCCAGTAATACTAAATCAAATGGAAACTCAGTTCCAGATCTCAAAAGGAAGCTCCAGCAATACTAAATCAAATCGAAACTCCATTCCAGATCTCAAAAGGAAGCTCTAGCAATACTAAATTAAATGGAAACTTAAGCCTGCCAATACTAAAGCAAATGGAAGCAAAATTGAACTGGATCTCAAGAGATTGTTCTAGGCACCCCCTTTGTTGGGGGGGAGAGGGCCCCCCCTTTACTACTCCCAGGCGGACATTACTCCGAACAAAGACCATTTAAAGGACATTACTCCGAACATAGTCCGGATAGGTGGACAGGGTCCGCCGGACCGGTTGGACGGCCCGGACGGGTCCAGACGGGTCTGGATAGGTCCGGACGGGCCCGGACTATCAAAAAAAGGTGTGTGTTTTTTTCAAAAAACGGTGTTTTGGTTCGGACTAGTCCGGGACGGACGCTTAAATACGCCTTTTGGACGCCTAAATACGCCTTTTCGGACGCCCCGCTGGACGCCCAAAACAAAAAAAGTGTTTTGGATAGAAAAAGGTTTTTTGGTATGTTTTTCTCGTCCGGACGCGTCCGGAAGCGTCCGCCCGCCCGGACCCTGTCCACCTATCCGAACTATGTTCAGAGCAATGTCCTGTAAATGGTCTTTGTTCGGAGTAATGTCCACCTGGGATTAGTAAAGGGGGGCCCTCCCCCACCCCAACAGAGGGGGTGCCTAGAATAATCTCTTATGTTGCTTCCATTTGCTTTAGTATTGGTAATTAGACTTGAATTTCCATTTGATTTAGTATTGCTGGAGCTTCCTTTTCAGATTTGTATTTGAGTTTCTGATTGATTTAGAGATTTGGAATTGAGTTTCCATTTGACTTAGTATTGCTAGAGCTTCCTTTTGAGATTTGGAATGGAGTTTCCATATGATTTAGAGATTTGGAATTGAGTTTCCATTTGACTTAGTATTGCTGGAGCTTCCTTTTGAGATTTGGAATTGACTTTCCATTTGATTTAGCATTCCTGGAGCTTCCTTTTGAGATTTGGAATTGAGATTCCATTTGACTTAGCCTGGCTGGAGCTTCCTTTTGAGATCTGGAATTGAGTATCCATTTGATTTAGCATTGGAGCTTGCTTTTGGGATTTGGAATTGAGTTGCTATTTGATTTTGCATTGCTGGAGCTTCCTTTTGAGATCTGGAACTTACTTTCCATTTGATTTTGTATTGCTGACAAGACTTTATTTCAGAGGCCGTTGAAATAATGTCAAATTGGGGGTGAAGTTTCTGAAGTACTAGGTTGTTTGTGGGTTTGGTTGTAGGCAGTTTTTATACAAGAGACATGCACGAAAACAAGAGCTTGGGGAAGCTGGACATGTTTGATTTTGGGAAGCAGGCCCAAATCTAACAACAAAGCCCGAAGCTTCATAGGTAGTTACACTGGGCTAGTTGTATATTTGCAGGGGGCCAAACAACAAGACTTTATTGTAGGGGCCCCTGAAATAAAGTCTTGGGCTCAAGTTTGGGGGCCTGAAGTACTACCCACCCCCTTTGCAGGTTTGATTGCGGGCAGTTTTTAAACAAGAGACATGTAAGAAACCATGACTTCTTGGGCAGCTGGACAGTTTGATTTTTGGGGAGCTGAAGAACAAGGTACCAAAGATCTAAGGACCAGGTGTTGGCTTGGCTACCTCTCCTCTTCTTTCTCTGTTTGTTCCATTTTGTCATGTTCCTTATACTTTTCGTTCAGAAAATTTGGGCGGGGGTGGCGAGTGCTTGTCTTTATTGCAGGTGCATTTTTGGGGGAGCCACCCAGTTGTCTTTATTCCAGGTGCAATGCTTAATCCTAGGTGGACGTTACGGAACGACCATTCAATTGCTAGTGACAGCTATTGTTCGCAGAATACTGTAGCATGCCTTGCAAGCTTGCCTGTTATCATATAAATACTGGACCCTTTGGCTGTAACAGTGAGGGTCTTGGGGCAGCTTAGCGCTGTGAGCAAAGCTTGAAAGCAATATGCTTGCTTCACGGCATCAACTTTAAGGGCAACTGGTTGCGCTGAGTCGCATTAGCCAAAGAACCACAGTTGAAGAGTTGAAGCAACATGTGAGCTTGATCATCTAGGAGGCATGGTGAAACTGAACATACCCGAATTTGCAAAGTATTGTATACCATGCTTAATTAAAATGTTTCTTGTGTTGTTTGTAGATTGAAGCAATATTGGGCACATGGCCCAAAGGCACAGAGCTGTAGACAAATGCGGAATCACTCCCATCGCGCTGCTACAAAATCTGCGAAAGCTATCCTTCTGAATTTGTTGCGACAATATTTGTTCATTGAACTTATACCTTCTTGGACTCTACAGTCGTGAAAGTAGAGTGACATTACATGAACATGCGGTGAACTGCGCATGACACACTGTTTCAAGCCACTAGAAGACCGGGTTTTGCCATGAAAAACCGTTTGTGATGTGTGCCGCGCAAAGCACACTGCACACACTAGAAGAAACAACTCGAAATGTCTAACTCCTGTTTTAAGGGATGTTGGTTCTTTGCATTGTCGCGGCGCCCTCCTAAACATCAGTTTGAGTTGTGGTGCACCAAGCCACCTGCTCGCTTCCAAAGGAAACACCTGACTTGGATGCTTTGCGACTCAGTGTTCGGCTCCAATGCTAAGCAACACGCAACGGGGCAGCCTTCTCAACTTGTGCAACTCACAAATGTTTGTCTCACACATAAATGCAAGGCTAATAACGCGGCTTTTGTTTTCCCTTGTGTTGCGTTGGCATTCAAGCCGTTTGGGCCAAGGTCAAATGATGTTTGATGATTTATTTCATGCCAACATCAAAGGCATTGAGCAGCTGAGCTGAACAAAGAGGTGTTACATTGGGTGATAGCAAGGTCCGCGCCGCTGCTTGAATTGGCACTTGCATCTTTCAAGCAAGCCCTGCACAGTGAACAGCAACGCCCCAAAGAACACCGCTTATCGTGACAACACCGTTAAACAAATCCGCTGATGGACTTTCAGGGCTTTACTTGGCACAGAACCAAAAAAAGGTGTTTTGTTCAAGAAAATGTGTTTCGACAAAGAATGCCATTCTTTACATTTTGCCCCAAAAATTTGGGGTGGTTTGAGACTCCAGGTATGTGTTTTTTGGGTTCCATGTTAATTCGCAGGGAAGTATGTGTCAACAGAGGGATTGATTCGCCTTCCTTCGGTTTCCCTTTCAACCAGCCTGAAAAGTATAAGAACTTTTCGCAAGTCCTTCACTTGGCGGATGCAGCCACGCGCACTCATAGCTATGATGGCTATGGGTCAAAACAGTGAACATCCCAATCCCCACTTATTTAGATTGACATGGGTGGTGCGCCTACCCCCGAAATGGTACCAAGTGTTGACCCACGGCCATATCCCCACAGCTTACCCGAGCGGTTTTGGTCCTCGCCCCAGGCAAGGACCAAGAGCTGGCACCAAGATCCGGGCACCAAGCCTGAGAAGATGTCCATGCCCCCGCAGACCCAGGAGCTGCCGAGCCCCTGGCGCGCGCGCGTGTTTTTTTTTTGTTTAATACTCCTTCATTTGTTTTCACGAAGGCCACAAGGGGCCTGGGGTGCCTGAAAAATTTGCCCTGTGGTTTTGACATGTTTCGAGCATCACCCTTTTTGCCACACTTGAAGTGGGTGAACTTGTGCGGTGATGGTCAAGGCCGAAATGTAGGGAACGTGTCCGGAGCCGGCTGCAGGGCTCTAAGAGACGGAGAATCAATCTGGCCAACTTATCGTGGGTAGAACGAGCTCGCCGACAGTGTTGGTCCCTTACTTGATGTCCTCCCCTTTGTGAGCGACAATCATTTGCCGAGTTGGTTGGAGAAACGGAATTCGCAAATGAAACCTCCCTGCCTGTATGCCATAAACTTGTTCGCTTGGCTCAGCTGGCAAGCACATTGGCCTCAGAGCGGCTCAGGTTGGAATACTGTGCCGAAGTGGGCATTGATGCGCTGGCAAGAGAAGGGGCTGAGCTGTGAACAAGGAAAAAGGATCGAGTTGCCGCAAAATATACAGCAGGGACGCGTTATTCCTCCCTATGGCCTGATACAGCCTCATATCAAATGCTATGCTAGGGACCCATCCAAATGGTGGGAGCCTGGTTTTGACTCACTTCCCTATAGAATTCAGAGGCTCTGCGAAGGGAAGTCCACGGAAACAGCCGTTCTCAGCTGGCCGAACCACAAGGGCAGAGCATTTGCCATGGCCACGATCCTCATCCACCAAGGAGGAGCAAACGGGGTGCGTTTTCCCTTTCCCAGGGGCCTCGAGTCTCTACTCTTGTGACGGTCGGGCTTTTGGAGCACTGCCGCACAGCTTCGGGCTCAATCTACAAGATGTAAGAAACAAAGCGCTGGAGGCTCCAGCCAGATGTGACCAGCCCAGACCCCACAGAATCCCTGAATGGTCCAGCCTAGATTGTGCCATGGGCCCAGGCGGAAGGCGATGCGCAACGTGAGAGGAGTCAAGTGTGAGAACCACGGCTACAGATGGGACGCCTGCAACATGTTCAGAGTGTCTTTCAGTGCAGTTGCCATGTGATTTCATTCGAAGCCTGGTTCAAGACGAGTTTCGATGCTTGGCCCCCTTTCGTGATCATTGTTAAAAGGAGCGCATTTGGGAACCGGCATCCACATTGGGACCCCTCATTTGGAGATGGTGGTTCCGAAAAGGAGAGGTGCTTCGGGATTCATGTGCAGCGTGGGCTTGGCTAAAGATAATGAAGGGACCCTCCCCCCCAACCCCCTGGCCCTCCCCCAAAAAGAAAATGTTGCCTTTGACTTCCCTAGGACCGAACGGGAGTGGAGTGACAGGCTTCACCCCAGACCTGCCCAGAGGCGTTTCGGGCCTTCGCCGCGCTCGCTGCAGCTTTAGCCTTGGTCTCAGTCAGCCAGCGGGCCAATGGTTTGTTCAGTCCCGGCGCCTTTTGGTGTTGTAAACATTAGGTCAGTTTTCTTGGCCGAGCTTCCTTTTGGTGATGGTTTTTCTTGATCCTGTGTGTTTTTTTGGTGTCAAGGGTCCAACCCATTGTTGTGGAAAATCAGGTTTAAGGCCTAGTTTGCGTTCGCAATCGCTGGCATGGTTTCCACGAGCCAAGAGAATCCGCCTTGAACGTGCTAAAGTAGTATAGGGATGGCCCGCTTTGGTGTCGCAGAAACTCACGGAAACGCTCATTTTCTACAACCAGAATGACATAGTCAAGCCAATCGCGATTGGTATCCATTGCCTGCCAATACAGCCATAGCGCAACAGCCCGTTTCAATACTGAAACAAGCCACAAATTCCCGGTGCCGATCGGTGGATGTTGTCCTTCAGTGAGTTCGGAGGGTGACCCAAGGCGTCGCCGTGGTGCTTCTCCGTGGTCGCCTCTCAGAGCAAGGACTCGGAGTCGGAGAGCGCAATGTTGGAAGCTGCCCGTATATCCGAGAAAGCTATGCAGTCTCAAGTAGTATTCAGGGCGCCTTGGTGTTAGCCACATTGCAAAAGCCGGCCCCAGCAGCTCCAGCTCGGCTCTTCAAGAAAATGGCTTGTGCAACAAGTCCGCTTTGGCCTTGCCTGCAGCTGGTATGCGTTTGTTTTGCCCGTCCGCGATGTTGTTTTGCTTGCTCCGAACCCTGCGATGCCACAGCCTCAAAACACTGAACACCATAGAGGGTCACCCAACTTGCTGGCGTTCGTCCGCGCTCTGATATGGTGAGCTCATCGACCCAGGGGTCCAACGACCACCTTGACGTCGGTGTTTTTCCCCGGCGCTCCCTTCTGGCAGGCAGGTTTTTGGTACTTAGTATTGCGACAATTTTCAGGAGTTCAACGAGGCTTGAGAATGTGAGAGGCGAAGCCTTCTCGGTAACATTGGAAGCATATCGCTTACCAATGGCTGTCGCGTCTTTCTTGGAGGATTGTGCGTGTCGATGCCTTTCAATATGGCCCAAGGGCAGGTCAGCACAGGCAGTGGCGAAAGGCAAGGTACATCTGCAAGCAGCGATCTGCCATTTGCCGAATTACAGCCTTAGTCTGTAGCGATCAAGGTTGTGCTAGATCCATGCCTTGCTGAAATCGAAGCCCCGGGCTTTTTGGCAGGCATAAGCTGCATGAATCGCCAAACTGAGCAAACCAAACCACCCAACGCCGCATGGACCCCGAAACCGCTTCGCCCAAACGACGTCAAGTCGGGGGGGGTTGGGGGCCGCTGGGGCGCTGCCCCGTGCGCGACTTGCTGCGCGGTGAGCGGATGCCGGTCGGCGGCCGAGCGATGCGCAGCGATGGCGACAGAGACCGAGGCCGGAGGGAACTGTGTTCTCGCTACACTCATTGCCGGCTTGAAACTTGTTTGCAAGGGCATGGTTTCGACCAATTTCGATCCTGACTACATCAGAAAACAACAAAGATATCTCTATGGACATTTGCAAACACTGGGATGGGAGTTGATGATGGGTTGTTTCCAAGAGGATAAGTGCCATTCCACCCTTTTATCAATGTCGAACAAATGAGCTAGATGGGACATGATGTGACTTTCTCTTGGCACGTTGGGGTAGACATGTTGTTATGTCGTACGCAAATAGAAGGGCTGCGCCCTTGGAAAAAAAGACACACAAAAACAGCTAACTGGATTGAGTCTGCAAGAGTTGCCGTTGCAGACAGATCTAGGTTTTGCAACACATGCATCGCAACTATCACGTTCACAAGATGTTTCAATGTCAACGCGTGGCTGGAGAAGCTGACCCACTGACGGTACGGTTCATTGAGCAGTTACTCTCTTTCCAACAATCATGGAAGACGTGTGGGGCCATTGTAAGTGGACTGTATTCTTTTCAAACGTCGAAGCCACAAAGGGCCGCGAAAGGAAACCATGCTGCTGTGTAAGCTACTAAAAATCCACAAAAGAGACAGCCTAGACTGGAACAAGGCAGCACGTTCCAAGCGCGGCTTACCCGGAATTGTCAATGCACAGGCGGCAAACGTGTGCCTCACCAAATTCTCAGGCCAACTTCTCATTGAGTCCGCCTCGAACCCATCGAAAGGCCCCCAGCACCCGAGAGCCCTGAGGATGCGCCGCTTTCGGCGATCTCGCCTGGAGCATCAGGCTGGTTTGTGCATGTTGTGCCGAGGAGTTCCTGAGCAAATTTAGTCACAGGCCCGAGATGTACTGGAAGCATTGCACCTGAAGGGTACGTGAAGACCATAGACTTGGCAGCCTCCATGCACGAACGCATCAGGCCACTGTTTGGTGGCGCCGATTTGGCGGCCTCTTGCTTCGGCATTCTGGGGTTTGCTCGGGCAATTCGACAGAGGCAGAAACAGAGAGAGAGAGAGAGAGAAAAAAAAGAAGAAAGAAACCAGAACATAATGTGTGTCTGTGTGTCTGTGCGTCTGTGTGTCTCTGTGTCTGTGTGTCTGTGTGTCTGTGTGTCTCTGTGTCTCTGTGTCTGTGTGTCTGTGTGTGTGTGTGTCTGTGTGTCTGTGTGTCTGTGTGTCTGTGTGTCTCTGTGTCTCTGTGTCTGTGTGTCTGTGTGTGTGTGTCTGTGTGTCTGTGTGTCTGTGTGTCTGTGTGCGTCTAGGAAGCTTGGTGAAGGCATGCATGTCAATGCGCAGTCGAGTCTTTTTGAGATCAAACATTCACACATATTTAAATGTGCAAACATTCAAGCATCTACAAGATCGTCCTGATCAGATCCAGGACATCCAAAAGATCCATTGAAACAGCCATTTGACCGATTTCACATCATATACGTGGGCGGAAAAGAACGAGTCACGAGTCCGCATTCGGAGGTTTCTCGCTCGCTGAGCTTGAAATCCGAGCGCAAGAAGCAGAGGCGGGGCTTGGCTTTTCTTTTGGCAAAGCTGCGGGCGCATGCCGCCCCCCCGAATTACAACTGTTCAAAGGGGACTCATAGCTCTTGAAGGAACAGGATGCTGCACCTAGGGACTTGTCATTGTAGATTATCCCCTATGGGACCGATGACATACGGTGCTGGCCAAGCTGCTACGACGCCACGCTCGAAGAGGAACACACAGACGGGCGGGTCTCCCCGAGGCTAGGTGCTACAAGGGCCTATAGAATTAGAAGGGGTTTGTGGGGTACTTCAAAACTTGATAAACCTCGTGATTATGTAGAAGTCAACATGATAGTGAATATTGGCGCCGCGCATTCTTACGCAAGTTATGCCGAGGGTAAAACGAGCTCCGTGACGAAGGTCCTTCCCCTATTGCCGGTTTGGGGGATCACAGCAATTGGGCCAGATATTGCCCCTTTGGGTTTGGTGCCATAACCATTGGCAGGACCGAATTCATTCCCGTCCATTTGGGAGTTGCGTTTCTTCCCCGGATGGCATGCAAAAGGCCACCCTCATCAAAGACGATCTTCCAGCTTTGATGTTTGACTCAAGTGTAGGGGGATGTCTCTCATTCTGCAATCGATAGGCTCGGCACGGTGAATGGCAGCAATTTGCACTTCTGCTATTGAAACGGGGAACGTGCACCAGCAGCCACGGTGCCCGCAACCTTCCTTCAGCCTTTTTGTTTGGCTTGGGACACCAGCCCAAAATGGAACCATTTCCATGGGTTTATGCGGGGCAGTGCGCTTTAGGTTGATGGTTGGCTGCAATTCTCCGAGCAAATGGCACGAAGTGTTGTTGCAGCAGCTCCTGTGCGTGTTATTTGTTTGTTCCCCCGGCCATCAGGAGCCCGGGCCATCAAACGGTTTTGCGTGACCGCGACCAGGCTTTCGGTTTCCCAAAACAATGCCACTTCCCAGTGCCCTATCTGATCTTTCCCCGTTTGGTCACAAGATATGCGCCCAACAGGAATCCCCTCTCTGAAACTCTTGGCACAAGCGGAGGGGGGAGCTCCTGGTGATTCGCTTGCGCACAAGTCGTCGAGGCTGCTGCAGCTGCTGCTGCGGATGGGGTGGAGCTGACCGGCCCCGCAGCGCGGAAGGCGGGAGCGCCACTTGAGATATGAGCTCCTACAAATCGAGGTTCTGTCAAAATGGAGGGCCCGGCCAAATTGTCCCATGTCCATTTCGAGGCTCATATAATACTGGAAGACTCATCAAGCGGCTATGGCTAGGAACATGAGGCGAGAGATGGTTATCATTTTCACGGCGTCCATCCGCAGGCGCTCAGAAAATTTCGCGGCGTCGATTGCCAGGCCCGCAAGCTGCGCCTGGAAGCGGAGAGGCTGCGGGCGGCGGCCACTGGCTCTGCCCAAAAGGCCCAGGAGGCAGCAGAGGGAGCGGAGGAGGCATAGACATGTGGCCTTCAGTTTGGCCGAAAAATAGGCACTGGCTTCAGTTTGGTGATTTAGACAGAGTTCCAATTGCACAGGCCAGAATCCAACCGCTGCATTGGCTATGGTTCAGCTCGTCCGTTGTCGCATTTGTTTGCAAGTTGCCATAGCAGACGGGCCTCTTTTGTCAAAACTATGTACCTCTCTGCAAGAGAATCCTTGTTTTGTGTTGCGAGTAGCACACTGTCACAACACCTTCCCAACAGGATAGCGCACTGAGGAAATCGTATTTTGCTTGATTGTAGACAGTTAGACTCCTTCCCTTCGGCTTTGGTCTCTTTTTTGCCATGAGTGTCCAAAATACAGCCTGGGCGGTTCAAGGGCAATCCCCGATCCTTGCCCTGGGGTGCGAAAGGGCTCCCCGTTGCAGTGGGTCCCACAAAAGGATTATGGGTTAGGGTTGGCTTTTACGACCTGTGCCTCACGAAGGCAACATCCCAAGCGTCGGGATTTTTGATCGCCAGGTGCCAACCATCACTGTGGAGTTGGAGGATGAGGTTGAGACCCTGGTGGCGGTCAAGGCGATCGGCAATCATGGGCACAACTCGGTGGTCAGCCCATATTTTTCCCCCCAAAGGATCCGAACAGTGGATGGATATTTGTTCGATCGTTAAAGACATTGTCTTAGGATCGTGACATTATTTGGTTTAAGACTGACCCTCTTCCCCACTTAGTCAGCACCCCATTTTAACTACTTAGGCGGATAATTTGCCAGAGGGTCGCCCTGAGTGGGCTTTACCTGGATATGGACCTGGGCCCTAGTTGTCTCCTTTGCCTCAAAGGCTGAAGCGGATAGGCGGCCAGTTTGGTTTCACCTAGATGAATTGATTCCACTGGTTTCAGTTTGGGTCGTTTGTTAGCAACCAGTGGAACCTATCGATTTTTCCATATTTTGCCAAAAGGATGTCGGGCCACGGGTGGTTCATGCCTTTACAGACCGGCCATGTCCGGGATTTTGATCCATAAGCACGCACTCGAGGATCCAAAGCCGCCGTCTGCGCCGCCTGTGCCATCGAAGAAGAAGGCGAAGAAGAGAAAGAAGTCCACAAGCTCAACGGAGGAGACCTCCTCTTCTTCGAAGGTGAAGAAGAAGCGCAAAGAGGCCTGGCACCTCTCTGGAAAGCTAAGTTATATCAAGTTGTGGAACCCCATCCACACCGGCGCCTCCCACCCTTAGGGTGACCCACCCATCGCAGCCATCGGAACAGCCAGACCCGTCCCCTTTAAAGTGCTTGATTACACATAATTATTGGTAGTGTCTAATTTGGGGGCCGGGGCCTCAAACTCAAAATAGTGTGTCTTTTTGGTTTTCCTTCATTTTTTGTTAAAAGCAAACACACACACACACACACCCAAACAGTTGACCCAATTGATTTAAACACATGTTTCAACCAAGGGGCTGGCCCAACATACGTCGGCGCCGTCGGATTGGGCGATGCCTGGGGCAGGTGGACAAGGATGCTGTCCGAAGGCTGGCCGAACAAGCCGCTCGCAGATGGCAAGAGCGAGACGACCAGGCGCAATCGCGTTCAGCCAGACAGTGCTTCGGAAGTGCTTGGGGGGTCGTCTCAAAATGGCTACAATGAGTTGAATATACCCTCCAAAAAGGTTGATGGACATGAATCCCCAGGTACATGATGTCCACCAAAGAGTTCTCAATTGAGAATTGTTCTCAAATTGCGGATACTTCGAGGTAAGGAGGTGTTTCTTGTTGAGACAGACTCGTGTAGACAAGCTGACAACTATGCATGGCCCAATGGATTGTGTGGCTCAGTGACATGTCCCGCAAACCGCACTCATTGCCGGCCTGGCTCTGGCTCAGTTGGAAGCAAGCATCCGTGTCGTCGAGCAAAGAGGACGGACCGAAGATTTTGGTGTGTGTGTGTGTGTCACAATAGCAGAGACCTCCAAGTGTGTGGTTTGTCTTTTGGTTTCCCTTTTGCCACTGTAAAACAGGGTACCCTCAAACAAAACACCCCCGGGTTTTTTCAGCTGCGTCTGCTTGTCGCCTCAGCAAGTGGCAGGAGCCAAAGCCGCGGCAGAAAGAGAAGCCCAAAGAAAGGCAGAGAAGGCGGGAGTTCTCTCCAGCGTGTTCTTCACTGTTCTCAGCATGTGAGTTGTTGGTTCTGCTCAATACGGAAGTGGGGGCCGGGAAAGAACAAAGTTGTTTGCTAACATACCGTGGGAAGTGTGGGCTCAGGGCTTCTTTTGGTGCTTCAAAGGTTGGCACAAGCCTTCAGTCGGGATGTTTGTTCTGGCCCAAGGGGAGTAAGCAAGGCACCGCAAACCAGAGGTAGCTTTGGACGGTGAAGCAGGCTTGGACCATTTCGAACACGTAACGTGACCCCCGCCGGCGGTCAACTCCGCGAGCGGTCAACTCCAATTCTGATGGATCCCTTTTGGTCGCTCGTTCCCAACCAGCTACTTAGGAAGACTCGCGTGACTTCCCAGAAACTGCGTTCCCTCGCAGGATCGCCAGCGTGCAGCCGAGCTTTGGCTGAACTAGGGCCAGAGCCAGTCTGGTTTTGTTTTTCCTTTGGCCAATAAACTGACCTGTTCAGCTTGAGCACTTTAAACTTTCCGCAGATAGACGTCTTCGTCATGTTAGTCACTGTTAGTCAAGTCCCAAAGATTGCAGGTTTGTCTGGCCAGTGCAGAGACAAAGAGAATCTGGGAGGGTCCTGAAAGAGTCTGCTTGAGAGCTACAACTTGGTGTGTGTCAGTTTCCTAGTATTTTCATCGCCATGCAAGTCAGAAACGGGGTAGCAGCAACAAAGCAGGTATGAGTTGCATGCCAAAATGAGTTCGAAAGGCGGTAATGTATTCCGTATCATTCAAAATGTGATTCCACATTCTTGTCTTGCATCCTCGATTGGAAATGTGATTTGCCCATAATATTCTCAATCCAGTCCAAGGCACATGTTTGTGACAATTGGCCCTTGAGAAGTAAACAGGGATGTGGAAAATGTTTATCGACTGAAGTCACTCATTTCCAACATGCCAGGGAAGAGGAGCCCGACCACGTGATGTGCCTTAAGCTTTAGAAAACTTCAATGGCCCTTACAAGCCGTCCCTTGTGGTTTCCTCAAGGGAATCCCCAAAACCGGTTCATTCCCAACACCCGGTTTACCGTCCTTCCCCATCGCTGCCCCTGCCATCCCACGTGGACGTGGCGCCGTTGGGCGACAGGAGCGCCGGCGCCGCAGCCGCTCCCGGCGCCGGAGGCGCAGGTCCCGGTCGTCCCGGTCCTGAGGCCCTGAGCTCCCGACGGCGCGCTCGGAGGTGGTTTCCGCGCGCGGAAAACGGGGCGCGGCGGGGCGGAGGGGGGTCTTCTTGAGGCTTTGTACCCTTCTCACCCTGGGAAACTAGATGTTTTCTTGTTTTTTTCTTGCTTTTTTTTTTGGGTGGGGGGGTGGGGGTCCTGTTTTTACTCAGGCTCAGCAGGATTTCAAATGCGCTACTTATGAGTCAGTCCTGCGAACCAGCCTCAAACACGAAACTAGAGAGGGAGAGAGAGAGAGAGAGCTGGCAAGCCAACTGGGGTTGCTCAAATCCATCCGCAAGATCCCCATTTCAGCGATTTCAGTGGTTGTTGGTTAGTGTCCCACTAATTATGGATTAGGATTAGGGATCCCCTGTTTGAACATCCCAGCAAAGGGGACGAGGCAAGCGGAGGATGACTGAACACAGATGGACTGTTCACTGTCCATGGAGTGATACAATCAAACCATACTTACCCGACACGTTCTTCCTTCCCAGGAGCCAGAGCAGCCGAAGCTGCTGGGAGCTGCCGCGCCGGAAGCCCTGAGAAATCCTTCGAAGGCCCATGGGCCCTGAACGGTTTCCGCGTTGAAAAGGGGCGGCTTTGAAAACATGGGGATCCAACTGTAGCTGGGTTTGGTTTTACTCGGTTTGCTTCTGATCATTCGTGTCATTAGTGGAACCCATGGATTTGTTCCAAGAGGATGCCTAAGTTCGAGCCTGGTCGGCGCATGATCCGCCCAAACAGTTGCTGTCAATCTTACTGGAGAAAGTTAGGGCGCGGGTCCTGGTTTGTGTGGGACAGCTGCGAGTCCCTCACGTCCTGGACAGGCAGAGTACTGGATATGTTGACCAAACCGTCCCCTTGAACGGTCAGTTTGGGAGTGAACATCGATGGCCCCGAAGGTCATTTTGTTTCGAATGATTTTCAGTGGAATCCATCTATTTTGCCAAAGAGCCGCTAGGACGACAGTCACCAACCGCCACCCTTGGTCCGAAATTGAAGGAAGTGTGACTTTGGGCGCAACTGACTGGTTCCGTTCCCTCACTTCGGTTGGGCCTCAAACTGTGGAATCTCAGGGTAAATGTAAGGAAAAGGTTTTGGCTTCAGGTCCGGTCATGCCACTTGGCCTGCCAAGGACCCAAAATTTAAAGGAGTCGTCACTTTTTCGGGCCAATCCACTCCAGCAGTGAGTCCCTCCCTCAGCCCTCGGGCAACCCACGCTTTTTGCAAACCTCGCGACGGTCTTCCGAGGCCTGATAGCCCACTCTCCAGCCAGGACGACATGGGCGAAGATGCTAAGAAACGGATGCCCTAGGGCCCTACTAAACCACATCCGACCACAAAAGAACTGTTGGTTCGCGGCAAACCACAGGGTGTCTCCGTACCGACTGGATTCGCTTGCGAGCCAAGTTAACTAGATCTCAAGTTTCCTTGGGGATCATGACTCGCTCCCCACCAGACTGATTGAGGTTGCGCCGCTTGGCGTTTTCATGAAACGCGGACTGGCACGGAGCCTTCTTTTCAGGACCTGCATTTTAGGATCCAGTTGCAACTTGCAAGCCACTCAAGCAATTAGAGGATGTGGCGAACTCATATAAATTTCCGCTGCCCTTTCCTGCAGCCTGTTGATCAGGATTGGGGGTCGGTTTTTCCAAGTGGCAAATGTGGGTGTGTTTGGTTTTGGAGCTGCCCCTTTTGGAAGCGGTTGCTTTTGGAGACCACAAGGAAACCACCTACTAATTTTGAACGCCTAAAGTCCAGAATATGGGAAAGTTGGGGGTACTATTGAACCGAAGTACGTCACTATCATCGGACACAAATGCAATCAAATGGAGGGTAGTGAAACACACACACACACAAAAAGACAAAACGAAACCACAGGGGCCACGAGCAACGCGCAAGCAGGAATTGCTGGTTTGTTGATTTCGAAGGGAAGCCCCTTCAAACAAAACAACTCACCCATCGAGACTTTTTACTGTTCCAGACCATTTTGGTGGCCACCAACAAGTTTTTTTTGTTCTTCCTTTTTTTTTATTTTGTTTTTTTTTCATTATTTTCGGCCAAGCTATTCAAGTGCGGCAACCCATGTGGGTGTGGCTCAAAATTCAAGAGCTACGGTTACGCAGTTGTTTTTTGTTTTTGGTTCCATTTACCAAGGTGCCATTTTGCTGTTTTGAGCCACAGCTATGTTGATGGTCCCATTTTGAGCAATGGCCGGCAGGAGACCACCGGCTCGGTACCTTTGGCTCGCGTGGCCCCGCGGAAGTTTAGGCGATCCGGGTGCGAAAATTGCGAGGGCCCAAAGGTTTTGGTTGCTCCGAAGCAGCAGATCAAAACCACAAAGCACATTGGTTTGGTTTGGTTCGGACTTTCGGCAAATGTTTATCTTTTGATTGGGTCGTTGGGTCGTAACCTTGAAGATGGCTTTGATTGATTGAAGCAGGCCTATGACTCCTGCGTTTTCAAAAGCGGGCGGCCTTGCAGTGCCGCAGGCTGCAGGTGGCACAGGCGTTCGACATGAGCAGATGGGTCTGCCTCAGGGTGCCTATTTTCGAGATTGAAAGGAGGGGGGACCCGAATCGTTTACTCAGTTTGGGGCTTCCTATTGGAGTCAAGACACACCCTGATGCAGGATCCTCTTCACGTGCAAGGTCTGTGAGACTCGGAACTCCCACATGATCTCTAGGCCGGCCGATGGACTTTGGTGCAGCATTGCCTTTTTCAGGCACTACACTACCAGAAAATAGAAAGTACGTCCTGAATTTGGAAGGTAGCCCCGTTCAACCAGAAGAGCGCAAAAGACGACAGCACGACTGCCGTACGGAAGGACTATAGGAAGATTGCAGATGGACTACTGGAAGACTGCGGAGATGAAAGTACGCAAGCAAAACGGCAACAACAAAAAACTAGCTGTACATCAACATGGCTGCATTTTCAAGTCCGTATAGACAGCACGCCTTGCAATCAAGTCGTGTGGTGTCCAAACTAGCTGTTTGTTTTTGCCTTTTTCATTTGTCTTCCCATGGTCTTCCTCCCGTGCACTCAACTTTTTCGGCAGGGCGAACATGTTATTTCGGCAGGGCGTACATTATTCGGAGTACCGTCAAGTTCGCGGGCGGTTGTGCACCCTCCTTTGCTTCATCGCCCACAAGAGGACGGTGGCTTGTTGGATAGCCTGACCCCTTGTTTCTTCAAAAAGGACATCCCTGGCCCACCCAGCTTCGTCTCAATGGTGGTCGACCTTTGATCAAGGACATGCAAGTGTGGTGACCCCTCATGTATCAGAAGATTCATTGACATGTTCGTAAGAAGTTTCCCGAAAGGAGCACACCTGAAAAAGGGAGGAAAGGGAACGAAGGTACGTGTTTTGGGCTTACTGGCCACATAGTACGTGTTTTGGGCTTACTCAGTCATTTCGTGAAGAGATTCCCTCCCATGACAACTAGGCCATGGTTTCTTCGGGGTGTTTTCTAGTCGCTCACAAGGCTGGCCTACCAGCAAGGCATCGTCATAGCCACCTGCCTGCGACCCAAGGGCCTCCCCCCCCGTCCCCCCGAATGCTGCCCAGGTGCACAAACTCAAAGGTTGTCTCCTAAGAAGCAGTGGTTTCATTCTAGCATGATTTGGACCCTTCCCCCGCCCCCTACAAGTACGCATGCTGCGCAAAGGGCAGAACAAAAGCAGAAAGGGAACGGATGATCCGCGGACACATCCTAGGAGGCACTGATTGAAGCCACAATGCTTGTGGATTTACTTTATGGCAGCGCAGAAAACCAAGCAGTTTTGCACAAGAGGAGTGGGCGCCTCAGAATCCTCGCACGAAGAGTCACGAAGCACCCGCCGATTCCTGCTGATACTCTTTCCATATTTGATTTCTCCATGGCAACAGGGCTCAGCGTGGAGGTGGCAACGGAACATTGAGCGCAAAGCTCCACATAGCGTGTGTGCTCACAGCGTGGCTCTGCGCCCACTTACACGACGCCGCCCAGGTAACGAGTCTGTTTGCAAAAGCCATCACATATTGGCACAGTGCAATCTGGGAATGGCACCGCTTAGGTTGATGCTGAACCACAGGTAGATAATGAGCATTTGTCCAAGTTGTTGTGACAGGGGTCCAAGGCTTTAAAGCATGATTCCTGTTGAAGCAGAGACAAACGATGGTCCAAGTCCTGCCACCACGCTGCCAGAGAAAAACGATGCAGGCCCGTTCATCACTGCGCACGGACTTGGCTGCGTTATACTTGATGTTGTCGTTGTCAACTCTTTGCTTTCTGCTTCGCGGACATGGAAACAAGTAGCATAGACAAGACCCCGTAAGTTCGGCAATCACAGAGCAAGCGGTTATTGCATGATGCGAGCTTTTAGACAAGACAAAGCAGACAAAGGAACGCGTGGTTGCTTTCTGCAAGGGGCCTGGAGACAGGCCAGCCAAAACATGAGACAGGCGTCAATGCAGTAGATAGTATACCTCTACAATTGCATGAGAAGGCCTTGGTGATCCTTGGGTTGAATTCTGATAACCGTAACAGAATCGGTCGGATCAACATATTGTCACGGAGGCAACCTAGCAGCGAATAATCTAATTGCTTCCCATACCGGCTCTTACAGCTACTTGTCCATGTGAAAGCTGCCTTGGAAGACGCTTATCTTTGTGTATGCCCCAAGATGAGGTTTCCTCAAGCAAGGTACCCTCAACACACCCAGATTTGAATAGCAGCCACCCCAAAGTACGTGCCTTGGATTATGCGGCAACGCTACAGATGCGCAGAGGCAAGTCACCAATGTCTCAGCTGTCCAAAGCTGACCTTCGAACCTCCCAGTTTTCCCATTTTGGGTACAAGGCTAATCCAGGGCCTGTGGGAAGGTGCGATGTTGCTGCCAAATGGCAGTTTCTTCCGGCAAGAAGGGGCCGCACCTGTCAGTTGGATCGGTACTCCCAAGATCCAGCTTCAGCCATTCTTTGGAGCGAGATGCCACTCGCTCGGACCTTGCTCGGTTTGTTTTGAGGTTGGGCAGACAAGTGATGACAAGGAACATTGAAACGTGACTTCTCTTGTGGTACGCCCTCCTTCTCTTCAGGGCCTGCCACGATCTCCCAACCCAAAGTCTCTGAAAAACCCGAGGCCCTGGCTGCGGGAACCGGCACCTGCTGGCCGACAAGACGGGCGCAAGTCTTAGGCCGCTAGAGTAGGGTTTTCCCCCTTGAGACTGGGACAGACCGCTGCCTCCAGGGGAGGTGTGGTTCGTTCGAGGAGCGCTGCCATCAGAAAACTGCTAACCTTCCATTGACTCAGAGACATCGCGAAAGGAGTTTCTGATCATGACGCGTTGCTTGTTGCATGCAACGGCACGATGATCATTTTTCCTGCGTGAGGGGCAAACTGAGCCGGACTCTTCCTGCCAATGCTGAGGCCTTCTAGATGTGGGCATTTGGGATGTGGAGATGCTGGCTCAAAGAGGCAGGGTTGATGCTTAGCCAGAATTGACTTCAAAAACCAGATGAGTGTTCCACTTATAATTGGGCCCCCTACTGAACATCTTTAGGGGGTCTCACAATCCTTGCAGGGATGGCTTCAACCACCGTTTTGGAGTGCATATGTCTTTGCAGTTCACGCCGCTTCAGCCAGGGATGCCCTGCTGTCAACCTTCCTGCAACAGGTTCAAGCTTTGGCGTTTGCAGGTTCGGCATTGTTGATGCAACAAGCACGTGAGCTGGACGGAGATGCACCTTTGGGAAGGACGGTCCCCCCCCCCTCCCACCTCCTGTCAACCGTGTCTCAGGTGAGAACGTGACGCGCCTGACCACCGATGGCTATACGCAGGTTGCGTCAGGGCTCGACCCGAGATGTTCATGCAACCGTGGTCCAGGCACCTCGCGTTCCCTTAAGCAGGGCTTTAGCAGCAAACTTTGCCATTTTGACTCTCAGACTTGCGTGGACAATCCTGAACAAGTCCTGCCCTCTAGTTGCACTTTTGCCAATGCAGGCAAGATCAGGCAAGCCTTCGGATGGACCAAGAGATGGTTGCAGCATTTGCAGCATATTCTTGAGGATAGTGAATCAGTGAATGCGTTGGGAAGCGGAAGAAGCAGGATCGTTAGGCATGAAAGTGAATAGGGAGCAATCAGCTACATGTAATCAATAGTGTCCAAAGCCGCCCATGGAACTGCTGACATTCCATTGATGTCCCTAGCCTTGGCTCCACCTTAACGTCTCTTCAAAGCGCAAGGGAACCTAAACACCATGCACCGTGCGAAGTCTCTGGCCCTGGCAAGCGCTTGTAGCTCTGGGCCCCAAAAGCGCCCGAAGATTCAATCTCGAGGCTTTTCAGTAAATCACTTACAGCCAAAAGGGGATGGGAATATGATGGTAGTTTGTTGTCAATGGCCTCCAACATAGTTGATAGACGCCAATAGCCACCAGTCCCTTCCGACAGCGAGAGGTCGATGGTGAGCTGAACCGCACCTCCAACTCTCCAGGCGGCGAAGCGGTAAAGACGCATGCAGTTGTTCTGCTAAAAGTTGTGTTGGCACTCAGGCATGGCTCCTTAAAAGATACATTTTGCCCATTTGAACCATGGCTTTTTCCACCAAAATACAGGGACACCTGCATTTACAAGGCAGTGTTCTGCAAGGATCCCTCTCAAAGCAAGTCCATAAATGACCTTTTGGAAGTTCGAAAGCATTCGAAAACAATCCACATGCGGAGAAGCACTCATGATTAGATAAATCAGGATCTGGTCCGAATCACTCCTGTGTAACCTGAAGATGCGCATGGCTATCCGGGGATGACAATGGCGCTTGTGTAATCTGCTTCAACGGGGTCCTCTTCCGGGGTTGTGCAAACATATTGTTTAGAGTTTGCCGCGTTGCACTGGTGACCCACTACAGATTACGGATTGGGACTACGGTTTTCCTTTGGGCACAGGTGTGGGAATGATAGCGGTTTGCCCAAAGCCTGTTTCCAGGGGCAACTGCTTGCAACCAGGCGCGTCGCCTTTGCTGGTCCGCAACAAGGATGGCCTGCTGGAAGCCTTGCCAGAGGCCGGGGTTCGAGGGAAAACTCCCAGACCCTTTCTCCTTGGAATATTCTTAGAGCAAAGGGGTACCCAACTCCTAGAGGGGCTTTCGATCCAATGGAAATCAAAGCTCACTGAAGACTTTCAGGTCCTTTCTAAACGTGGCCGCCAAACAGTCCCCTGCGTCGCCTTTGGATTCAGGGAGTATCCTCTTAGGTGGGGTGATGAAATAAATATTTATGAACCCATGAAATAATATATATAATATGTACGAACCCTGCGAACCGTGACCTGCTGTTCACCTGGCCTCTCTTGCCTGCGCGAGCAAGGTGATCCGAAATCAAGTCATACCTTTGCGGGGTTGATGTAAGGGGACACCAAAGTGAAGGCGCTCGTGTTGGACCCTGTGTGAGTGTGCACGCTGAAAGGAGCACATTGTGTGCGTGTTGGTTTCTCGAGATTATTGTTTTCGGGTAAGTTTAAAGTCGAGGGTCTGGACCCCCATCCCCGAGGCTTCTCCAGGGGACCATGCCTTCTCAATGCTTGGAACCGTTTTAAAGGGCGCTATATCCAGACATGAATGTGCTTGATGATTGCTTTCCCAGCCGTCCCCCCTTCACACGAAGCGCACTGAGTGCTCTTTCTCTTTTCACGCCGTTTCACAAGCAATCTGGGCCCCTGGGACTGGAAATGGAACCCTGTTGTTTTCCCTGTGGTCAAAAACCAGCTAGGATTCCCCGAAATCAAACAGGGGATCCGATCAGGCCGACTTGACCTGGGGGGCGGGGGGAACCGCCCGGAACAAAAAAAAAAAAAACACGAGAAGGCACGAAACCCCGGAAAAAAGCCGATGTGCATTTTTACTGTAAGGTACCTCGTTTTTGGCCATAGGCTTTTCCCAAGTGGACAGTGCCTTCTCAGCTTTTTATTTTTTAGAATAACAAGTAAAAATGAGCGAGCACGCAGAGGTTGGGGAAGCACGCAAACCCGGAGAAGGCCCGCAAAACCGGAGAAGGCCCGCAAAATCCGGAGAAGGCTCGCAAAATCCGGAGAAGGCCCGGAAAAAAATATGAGTCTGTTTTGTTTGGCGATGTGTGACGTGCAAATCCGCATTCATGGCTGCTGGTGATGCCAGTGCTGCTGCTGATGCTGGTGATGCCTTTGATGCTGGTGATGCCTCTGAACTGGTGATGCATAAAAGTATCTAGCCAGAGCCAAGGCTGACAAACAAACATGTCAGCCCTTGAGAAGGCACGCTTATCTGGGGGAATCCGCAAAATCCAGAGGACGCGTGTCCAGACTTCCGATAAAGGAACCAGAAGAAAACCAAAGATAAACCATCCCCACATACCCATAATATGCAAATCCCTTTGCTCTCGGTGTCAAACCCCCAATGAGTTGAATGCGGCCCGTGCCGTACATCGCATGGTATACACTTTCGCATGACGAGAAAGACTGATACAATCCATGCATTTCCACATCCGGGTAAGACCAAAGCTGGCGCGAGCGGCTCTCGAGGTTTTTTTCAAGCCACGGGGCGCGCTGTTGCGTTCAATTGCCAGGAGAATCTCGGAGTCAGTCGAGCGGTCGACTTTATGGCGGACACGGCGGATGAGGCGCGATGAATTTTAGCACCGGAATGCCCAGCCCAGTAAAATGATTCTCAACACTTGCTGTAGAGTGACGCTAATTGGCGCGTCATCATGACCATTGAAGGTATTTGGTACTTGTACGTACAAATTGGGGCTGGTCAAGGCGTTTTGATGTTACCAAACGTTTTCAGCGTTTCCCCTGCTCTTGGATGGTTGTTCTTCAGATGAGGGCCATGTCTTGACAACTTCTCGCGTGATCCTTATTGAAGCGCAGACCGCATTTGTTTGGCCCTCGCATTTGAGGCCATGTCCTGAGTGACGTAGATGTGACCTGTGCTGAAGCCAACGAGGCCACACGAAACAGGAGTTGTTTGTTGTCCCATCCATTGCCTCAGAGCCTCCAACCAGTGGATCAAACTAACTCGTACCGAAGCATGAGCTCCATAGAGCGCGATTCTGGCAATGGCCAGGGTGCAGGCATTGAATGCCACGCCTATTTTCCAGGCTTGCAAAGTTCAAGACTGACAAATCGGATCTCGGCGTTTACTCCGAGCCGGATATCTTGGCCCATTAAATGGGGTCCCCAGGCAGTGTGAGCCTGGACTCCTGAGACCTTGCAATGGGCCTTGGTACAGACCCGAAGCGAGACGAAGGAAACGCGGAGGAAACGCGGCTGCCGAGCTCACATTGGCGCATGGGCAGGGCAGGTGCTGGAAGGTGGTTCATAGCAAGAAGCGCGGTGCACGGCACTATATTTCTGCTTCTCTGTATATGACGCCACACTGGCCCGTCCAACTGGTCGGAGGTTGTACACTTTACCGTCTTAACAGAATCAACATGAAGCTTGTTATTTCCAATATTGGCAAACACATATTTTTGTTCGCCGTTTCGGGAGTGAAGCGCCGTTTGCCAAAAAAGAACTGCTTTTTCTCGAAATGCCACTTCGAATGCTGTCCAATGGTCGGGACAAGTTGCAGCTATGGGACCAGCTGCCGTTTGGACGGGCAAAATTGCCGTTTTAGTTTAACACGCGAGCGCCTGAAATACTCAACTTGCAAAAGTGTTCTTTCGCCCAAAATTGCCATCTCAATGGCAACATGTACCCTCCGGGGAGCACAGATGAATATCACGATACATATTTCTATATATATATATATATAGAAATTACAACTAGCCCGCAAGCCGAGCGCGGTTTTGATCTCGTCCACTATTCCAGATCGTAGTGCTTAGGTGTCCGTGTGCTCAGCTATCGTTTGGCCTTGCGTACAGCTCAAGGGTCGACATTTCCAGCATGGCCGAAGCCGAAGGGGCCGCCTGCTCAGGCTGTGTGTGGTTTTCTCGACTGAAATGGGGCGCATTGAAGGGATATTGATGTCCTGGAAGTTGCCCTCTACGTCTTTAAAGGGACAGAAGTAATTTTGAGAGGCCCTCAAGGTGCTTGCCCTAAGGCACTACCATAATTTTGAACCTAGTACAGATCAATCCGCAAAATCCTTATGCCAGATGGTCGCGGTGTCCCTTGTACTGGTGTCGGATTATCGATTTGAACAGCCCGACTCTTGTACACGGGGTGCGTAAGGGTATGTGTCAAGCTTGGGACCCCCGCAAACGGTAGATGTTCTTTCGGTTTCCTTACATGCCAACCTGAAAAGGGTGCCCTTAGACAGAAAGTACACACATAGACACATATATTTACAAAGGATCTCGAGTCTGGTTGCTTGATCCTTGAAGAATCTTGACAGCAGTCCAGAAGGATGACGGAATGGGGAATCGTGCGAAGGCATTCTGCCATTGTTTGAATTGAGTTTTCGTTGGGTTATGCGCACATATGCGCAAGAGAGAGGGAGTATGTTATTTGGATATTCCTGTTGTCCTTGGGAGCCATTGCGGCGAGAGACAGCTTGCATATTGAAGACCTTGCGCCGCTTGAAATCAGCAACTGCACATGAATTGGAAGTGTGTGTTGCGCTCCACACAATCCATGTTCTATACACCAGCAGTTTGGGCTTATGGATGTGTCTGGTAAGTATGCCATACCTGGTGTGTGGGGAGGGATGTCCTTTCAGTATCATTTGCAGCCAAGGAGCAGGAGGAGGGGGGCATTCCGCTTTCGCAGGCGGGGCCTGGACAGTAGGATCTATTTGCTGAACGTAGGCAGGTAAGCGAAGTGTTCAACAGCTATGCATGCATGGCTTTCGGTAAAGAACTGCACCGGGTTTGTGGGGAGCGAGCAGAAGGCTTGCGGTCAAACCCTGCAAGATTGAACGCGTACCTTGCCGTCCAACGGGTGCGGCTGAACACAATGAGGCAGACAAGCAAGATGGCAAGCAGAGGATGGCAGAGGATGACAATGCCTGACTTCCCTCAAAGCCAGCCAGCACGACTTTGCTTGGAGATCACTCACTCGCGGCCACGATGCAAACCCATTGGTCATTCAGCGAGAAGTCGAAATCGGAAAAAGTCGTGGCCAGGTGTTCATGGGGATTCAACAAGTGGGCGGGTCCCCACCGCTGTGGCCGTTTTTGCAAGGGAGGGGTCAAAGATCTGGCATCAAACCACCCGCATTGATTTGGCGGTCGGTCTGGTCGGTGCCAGGCCTCCCTCCAGCAGCTGAATGTTGCTGGGGACTCGGGCCCGAGATTTGGCGACCCAAGCCCACGAAGGTGCCTTTGAAAGGGGTCCCTCACTTCAGGCTGACAATCGTGTTTTACCCAAGTTCATGGAATGTTTTGTTTGTCTTGATTGCATAGCAGCGACATGTCACCCTCTCTTTGGCCAGGTTTCACAAAACACGACACACTCCCTGCGTTGTGAGCAGTAGGTTTCGAGGTTTTGCTTCTGGCCTTATAGAGAATCAGATCGGGCACTTTCGCAGCGGACCTGAAAAGTTGAAGGTGAAGAGTGCCGGTGCCTTATGAACATCCCAACGTCCCAATCCGAACCGGACCGGATTTGGCAACTTCAGCAGGAACTTGCCTAGGTCGCACAGTAGTGTATTTTTACCCTTTTTTGGGGGAGGGTTCCCCTACTAGAATAGAATAAAATAGACTGCAGAAAAAAGGGTACCCTTATTCTAACCTCTCTACTAGAGGACCTAGTTGCCCCGTTGGAATGGCAAACCCCACCAGTTCCAAGGTGAAGCAGCAGCTGGAGCAAGAGCTCAAGAGCTTGGTGGGAACCCCGGATCTGTGGCGTGTCTTTGTTTGGTAGTCCTTTTTGGTGGGTTTAAAGTGAAACCAAAAGGAAAATCACAGTTTTTGAGGGTCCCCTAAAAAAAGACACACATACATATCTTATATATATATATAATATTGCGGGGAGTTTTGAGGATGCCGCCTTTGTTTAGTCGACCCAGTGCTAAGCTAGGCTGAACGCTTTTCTGAATTGGAGCCATTTGCCTATCCTCTTGCACGCATGCGTGCCACCAATGTTCCAGCTGCATGAAGCCTGAGCCATCTACTTCGAGCGCTCCAATTGGCTTCTTTTTGCCCCCATGTACCAGCCACATGGCGCCTGAGTCTACTTTGAGCGCCGCAGCTGACTGGTTTCCGGGCGGAGAAGAGATCTGGGAGTTTCTCTAAGTCGGTTTCCCTTGAGAAAAATACAACTCCTTTGGGCGAACTCCATCTCCATGGCCGAGATCAACAATCAAGCAGCCCTCAGGGAGGCCGAGGCACGCAGGAGACGCTCTGGGGAGATTGGGCGCATTCCGGTTGAAGAGACACGTCGGGTGCAGACACATGGAGTTGGTGGGTCCCATGTCTCGCTTTACATGCAAAGGTTCCAGGGAATCAAGCTGGGAGAGCCCGAAATCCAAGTTGAGCCTTCTGAGTCGAGCAGCTCTTTGCTGAGAAGCCTTGTTCCCCCTTCTGTAATCCTAGTATTATTTGTATCATTCATATGGTTGTTGTTGTTGTTGTTGTTGTTGTTGTTGTTGTTGTTGTTGTTGTTGGCGGTGGTGGTGCTGGTGATGGTAATGGAGGAGGTGGTGGTGGTGGTGGCGGCGGCGGTGGTGGTGGTGGCGGTGTCTGTGGTGGTGTTGGGGAGTGGTAATAGCGCTGGGTAAATAATGCATACGCAGTCATGCGGGTCACCTTGACATGGAATGGCGGTTGCAGTGGGGGGAGGGGTACCAACGTTCGGCAAAAGATGCGCACACTGTCATGCTTATTGACAGTACTGCGACATATGACCTATACATATGCCTATATAACACATTTGGGTACACCCAACGAGCCCACACACACACACACAAATACTATGCCAGGCACGCTTCCAGGCCTCCATAGAGAGCCTGAAATCGCTGTGCCCAGAGAACACGGGCAAGCCCATGCTCGCCCGGAAGCCCGCTTTGGTTCCCGCCTCTTTGGGTCCGCAGTCTGCCGGGTGTCCAAGTAGCGGAAGGCAACATTTTTTTGCATGGTCCAACTTAAGGGGGTAGAATGGTTTGCATCTTGCGGGTTCTCATTTTTGGCGGCTTCCTTCGATGTAAAAATATGGAAGCCTTTTTGAGGTCTTGGGTTTGTGTTAGGGTTATATGAGAGCCACGATAACCCATCTTATACCTAAGTTTCCTGGAAGCTACCATGGCCTACTTGTTCTCGGGGAACAACCTTAAGGTTTTGAGAATGAAGCGGGTGAGATTTCCACGGGGTCTAGGAGATAGTTCCGTTGGGGGCCATTTCTCATTTCCTGGTTTGGTCGCTTGCGAATTGTTTGTGTGTTTGGCCAAGTGGGGTTTGAAGGACCAGAGTATTGGTGACTGATTAAACAATCGCGGACGAATTCGGGAACCATCAGAGAGGGCCTCTGTTTGCACAGTAGGGGCAGTGCTTCCAGCCAGTCAATCCACACACACACACACACGCACCATACATGCAATATTGCCAACAAAAACAATCGAACCCTTATCGGCTAGAATGTGGGTGTGTGCACATATATACATATATATATATATATACATACATACATATTACCTACATGGATTGTGTGGGCAAGGATAAACAAGGAACGGCACGTTCGGCACTTCCCATGGCTGAGATTCCAGTGACCTCCTCCTTGTACATCGACGGCCACATGACTGAAACGCCGCTGGCCTAGACAGTGGGGTTTCAAAGAATGGGGCCGTCAGGACCAGAGTCCAAAAGGGGCCATGTGTATGACAACCCTGTGCGGCCCTTGATTCGACTTGAGGAAGAAAGTGACGGTCGATGTTGGCACCGGGTACTACATCCAGATGTCTGTGGAGCGGGCACATAAGTTTTGCAACAGGCCGGTGCCAAGCCTCGCTCTGGGCGTGACTCGGGATCGTCAAAGGCACCAGTTGGCCATCCTGGAGGGTTCTTTGCATCCGTTGTCTTAGAGGGACAACTTGCTCAGCATGCTAGGTTGAATCCCCCCCCGGCAAGTTTCTTGTTTTGGTAGCCAACGACATGCTTTTGTGAACGGTCGAGTATCACTTTTCACGAGCCATAAGCATGGAAGCCAATCCGTGCTCTCTCGCAGTTGCACACACACACACAAGTTTTGCGCGGTTTTGCGGCTCGCATGGCAAAATCGAACAATGAACAATGACTTGTATCGCTCAATGGAACAGCTTCTTTGCTGGCTGGCAGAAACCCTGGGCTTGTTTTGGTTGACGGTCCTCAGCATCGGCCATCCTACTGGTAAAAACAAGAATCAAATAGATCCAAAGATGCAAAACATTTTGATTGGACGGGCTGGTACCACCAAGCCTAGGGGTTCTCCTTGCAATTGCAAGTAGCGGAACAACGTAAACCCTGTAATTTGCTGCAATTTGACGAGGTTGTGTGATTTGATGTGGATGGTCCACTTGCAATTTTGAGGGAAGCCTACTACTACATGCATTTGCCGGAGAGGGTTTTCAAAGAGCTCAATCACATGCCACTAGAGTAGTTTTATGTTGTAGAACCCCACAGAGACCGGTTTGTATGCCGAGTTTATTGGGGCATGTATTGAGGCACATACCCAACGCAATTGGTATCCTTGAGCTTTCCTCCATGCAGGAGATGTAAGCTGTTGGCGGACAACGCTTCCAAAGTGGAAGGGGCGCGCTTTCTCAGACGGTTCTCAGAGAGTGGGACGTTTTGTACCTAGGGAAAGGTTTCCTTTTTAACATAATAATTTTCCCTGGTGGGATGGTGCAAATCTAAGCTGTTGGCGAGTTTCCTTTTGGCGCTTTTGGTATGGCTGATGGTTAAAGAGAAATACATGGAAGCCTATTGTACCCAGGGGTCCAACTTGGAAAAACAAAGGAATGCTTCACCAGCCAGTTCGTGGTGTTTGCTTGAACCATGCTTTTGGCATCTTGCAAGGTCCTCAAGGAGAAGAAGAAAAGCTTGGAGCACATCCAGATCACTATGCAGCAGAAGATGTGCCGCCATTCTGCTCGCAGTTTTTTTGTCATTTTGCCTCCATCAGCCTTACAGGACGGCAGGTCGTCAGGTCTCATCCGTGGTTGCCATTGCTTCGGGACAGGTATGCAATGCAGGCTCAGGAAGCCGCCAAGGAGAAAGACGCCTGAGGCCGCGGCTGCGGCCTTGGCGTTCTTCGCGGCCAATGTGCCGAAGCATTTCGCAGCTGGCGACTTGACGCTTTTTGGGTTAGCGGTGAATATGGACCATGAACCAGTGCGTGGAAATGAACCATCCCAGAGGGCACAGCAGCTGCAAGATGAATGCATCATGTTCAATTGATCCCACAAGTGGAGTGATGGGCGAGCTGACGGGGTGAAATGAGGTGCGCGGTGGAGTTTGAAGCTGCTTTGTGGCACATTTCAGGCATTTTGAAGTTGCGTGCTATCTTGCAACATCTCCACTGATCCATTGGAGAACTACCTCTTCCAAAAGCCTTGCTTGAGGGTTTTCGGGGTCCCTAAGGCATTGGTTGCCATGACATCCAGGCAGTTGGCTCCGGTCAGACATAGGCATTTACCAGTATTGCGCCAGGCTCCAAGCGCAAGCCTGACAGGTCATGCTTGATTCCAGTTCTTTGTGCTTGTGTATTCCAGGCAAGCATTTGCAAGACATCATTGCTTGGCTACCCGCTGCAAAAACAACAACAACGAAGCACACACATGAAGTGCTGGGCCCACGCCTGCCTGAGCCAGAGCACCCACCCGCATCCAGAGGCTGCACTAAGCACAAGACCCCCAACAAGATAGTTTCTCCCATGGCGCTTCAAAGAAGAGCCGGGCGCTTAGTCTCTGGGAAAGGAAACCGGTGTTCCACACCACACTAGGGTTGAGCGCATTTGTTTAAACAACCAGGCCATGGACTTCTGAAAAGGGTGCCCAAAGGATGATGTTTAATGGAACGTGGAGGGAGGGGGTGGGCCATCCCGGTGCCCTTAGATGCTTCACATGAACTTTTGTCACTGAAATATTTGCCCTTCCTCACATTTGAGACTACTTAGTTACGTTACTTAGCAGTTCGCAGCCATATTCTTACACGTTCAGATTTCCGGAGTTTAGAGGGATCTATAACATATACTCCTTCAAGTAGTCTAGCTTGAAAGGGAACCACAAGCCACGCATGTAGCAACATTTGGCCCATGAGGGTTCCGCCCATCCAAGGCGCGCGGGCTGGAGGAGCGGAGCTTTGGGCGGTTCCGACGCCGACAAATGGAAAGGGGACCAAGAAGTGGCAACCTGGGTGCATATTCAGATGAGCCAGCCAGTTTTGGACGAGCAAAGGAGTGGTTATCTATTTTATCACAAAGCAGCGACATGAGCAAACTGGAGGCCATGCACCAACAAGTTCGGGGGACCCCGTAAATGGCGGTTCTCCTTCTGCCTTCCCTTTCAACCAAGGTGAAAAGGGTACCCTCAACAGACCCCACAATTGGTTGGAACCTTGTTGCGTCATTTTCCAAGGGTGTACTATGTCTTGGTGCACGTTCGACCGGTTGTGCAGGACGAAGCCTCCCCTTGTGAGAAAAAAACTTTTGTGCACTAAACCATGTTTGTTGGAGGCCAATTCCCCATGTCATTTGGCAGATACAAAAGTTGCAATGGCAAACCAGAAGCAACGGTTGAAATCCCTTTTGCCCCCTATTCGGACGAGCCATAGCAAAGTCCCTCACGTATCGATTGAAATCCTCGCGCTGATGTGCGAGGCGCTGTTAGTGCTGCTGGCACTGCAGGCCGGCATGGGCTTTGAGGGAAGCTGCCAAGCATGACGAGAGTTGAACGGGTACCTCACGCCCTGAGTTCATGGACTTTGGTGACTTTGTGGGACGATCATTTCAGCATTCAACAGCAAGTGCAGACCTTTTGTGGCCAATACACTCAGGAGAGGGACAGGTCCTAGCTGTTGACCGGCACGGCCTCAAGCAGTTTTCCGGCGGGGATTCGCAGTTCTGTCAACGTGAGCAGTGGGCAGTATTTAGCATCACTTGTACCAAACTGGGCTGTTCAAAGGCAATCCTGAATCCTTGCCTTTTGTTCCGAAAGGGTCCCCTTTGTAGTGGTCCAGTGGTTTTCCAACAGGGATTCTAAAAAATCGGACTGGAACTCAAACACTCCATCAGGAACAGCTCCAGCAACAGGAGGACACACGCTTGCCACAGTGCCATTTGGAACTGATCCGACACGGAAGAAATGGATCTTTGTACCCTCGCAGGTGCCGATCGATGAACAAACTCCACTCTCCAGTTGGTGCCGTTCCAACGGGGTTTCTCCATAAGCAGATTTCTACAGTTGAGCCTGAAAATGAGTGCCTGATTTTGATCAGTGGGTCCAAGAACTCGCGAAACCTCCAGTTGACCGAATCGAGGCCTCGCCGAGCCGGGGCCCCGAATGATCCGCTGGGCATCTTCTTTATTTCTCAGAAAACGCACCCATGGAGGCCTTCGAGCCTTCCCAATGAGAGTAGAAGAGATGACAGGACCATCCGCGATAGCCACAGAGGCCTCCATGCCATGGTTTGGCACAAGGATAGCAATGCCTAGCGCTTGAAGGATAGAATGCAGAAGCCCCCCACCCCGAAATAAAACCCAAATGAGCCTTAAAGAGCCTTATTTCACTGAAACCTGGGGATATGCTGCACGTGTCCAATTCTGAGGTGATTTTTCATTTGTCGGGCTACGAGAGAGGCTGGAGATGCAGCTGTTTCACGAAGCGTTCCTTTGAGAAGCTGATTTTACTTTGCCCGTGCTGCTCTCAGATTTTCCCGCCGATCTGGATGGCACACCATGCGTGCTGCTTGATGTCCTCGGAGTGTGTGACTCCTTGATAGTCTCGTCATGTCTCGTCTTGTCTTTTGGAGCATGATGCAGTCTTGCTGACATATATATATATATATGTCTGGATTTAAGTCGAATTGCTTCGAAACAATGGCCGTTCTTGTGAAAAGTTTCCTTTTCGCATTTCCGATCAATTGTTAGCCTTTGGGCCAATTTCGGCCATTCTTGTCTTTAGCTGGCATGTTGAGCGTGATTTTTGCATTTTTCTTGGGCGCTTTGTCGCAAAACTCTTCCCGCGATTCCAGCGATGCATCACGCAATTTCGGCAAAACTTCCCGCGATTCCTGGCGGAACTTCCCGACTATGAAGCTTGAGTCCATTCTGGCAACTCTGAGTATTGTTCTCCTGAAGCCGAATCGGTCCAATTCCGGCTGTTTGTTTTCCGATTCCGGCGAATTTGCGTGACTTCGGAGGGAATTCGATGCATTTCAGATTCTGGCTGAAATTTCAGCGGAAAGGCAGGGCTAAAACACCCTTTCACCCCGGTTGGTCAGGATACTCATAGACGCCATTTTACGAGGAACTTAGGCATAAGGATCCTTGGACATGACCCAACAAGGATGGGCTCATATTGGCGTTCTGTTGGGGTGTCGCTTGCTGTAGGCGTGCTGTCGCTGTTGCTTCCACGGGTATGATGATCATTTGATCCGTGTGACACCCTTTGGCCTTTGGCCAAACGGTGCGATGATCAGCGGAAACTGCTAATCTTCTCACTGACCGTGGACGCGACCTGTGCTTTGGCTGTGGGCGTGTGGCATGAGGCTCATGGACACTCTTGCTTTTGCGATTGGCGGGCGGTGCCTGCTCAACGCAGCGATTGATTTGTGGTGAGGGAGACAGTGTCGCAACGCCCATGGCCACGTCCGAAAGTCGCGCCGGGGATTGGCACCTGGCCATTTGGGCAGGCCATTTCATAGCTTGCGGACGCGACTGCACGCAGGCTGGGCCTCTGGCAGGAGTTGTGCATTTCTTTGGTGAGATGAGTTGTAAAAATGCAAATTGTTCGCCACTGCCAGGTTTGCCAGTGTGAGCTCATCAATCTGAATCTCAAAGCATCATGAATCAGCTTTGGCCCAGGAAGGGTGGTCTTTTTGGGCTCGCCTGCCTGTGTCGAGGTGCCGGGGCGGGCGGATTGCAGCGGGGTATTTTAGCCGGAACGGGAACGAGGAATTCTCCATTTGGTTTGCCGCGGTTTGCCCCGTGGCTCCAGTGGTGCCCTACATTGTCCCTGTGTGAGGGCTCCCTTCAATATCTTTTTCCCAAAGGACAAGTCTGGGTGGACATGTGTGAGACACAAGCTTTTGTTCATTTCGCCTGGATGGGGCCTAGACCGTGTCCATTTTCTGAGAGAGCCACATGTCCGAAATTGAGTTGGTTGAATCCTTTCGGCCAAATTTGGGGATTGATGCTCGAGTAACGTTTTGATAGACATGTGTGAGGGAACCCTAAGCGGGCTGCCGCTAAAGCAGATTCCAGCTTGCACCAAAGGACAATTAGGTAGGAGTATCATCCTATAGGACCCATTGGGGTCACTCCTTTTGGGCCGAAATGAACAATCGCGCCTTCTTGCTATGGAAGCCCCCGCGAGGGGCTGCCACGGCTGGCCTTTTCCTTGTTTTGCAGGCCCAAACCGTTGTAAAAACCTCATGCTTAGGGGGAGAAAAGCGATTCCCCCAGAAGTCGGGAAGACACAATTGGTTCGAGTAGTCTTGGTTCCTGTGAGCTGCATCCTATGTTGTTGAGAAGCTATGCGCGGCAATTCTTGCTAAATGCTGGAAAGAACACAATACTGTATATATATATATACCCAAGAAGTCCAAAGACGTTGGGAAGAATAGTCTTTCTACAGTAGACCATACTTTGCCATATAGACCATACTTTGCCGAAGGGTGCGGGCACAGAATGGCAGGCCCGCTTGAAGGCAGTACTCAAAGTATCCTGGATGTACAAATTCCAACGGTCATGTTTGAGAGACAATGATTGCCGGGCCAGTTTGCAGCAGTCTTTGTCACTCGCGCCCATTTCTCGCACTATGTTGGGCTCAACGGCCCTACCGCTTCCTCGATGACCGATTCAGCCTGAAAGGCCAGGCACATGATGTTCCAACAGGTGCGCATCCTATATTGCATTTCTTTGCTGCCGCCAGGGAGCATCGCGATGCGCCACTTGAGAGATAACAGCCTATAGGCGGCATGTGGAACCTCATCTTTCTAAAGATGATGCTATGAACTAAGTCCTTTCCCAAAGCACCAAGCGTATGCGTGTTCATGTTGACCAGGCCTCAGCTTACTGACCTTCAATATCCATTTTCGTCGGTTACGAGAGCAAGCTTGCAGCGTCAGTCCTTGGCTTGCTTCCAATTCTCTTCAACTACTTCAACATTTTTGAGTTCAAGAGTCAGCATCGATCAAGGGTGGACTTGGGGCTTTGTGGATCGAAGAAAAGACCGGTTTACCCCAAAGGTGTGTTTGTGGGGGGTTCGGTACGACATCTCAAAATCTGCCAATCACTTTCCCACAACGTTTAACGCGCACAGACAATCGCCTCGTTAAGATGACACACTGTGCTTTGACTTGCCAAGCATCGTTTGAGCCATGCCATCCCGTCCTCGTCGAGAAAACAATGCTCCATCCGAGGATTCGCACCTCGGTTGCAAGGGTAAGGGCAGGCGGGCCGGCAGTACTGCGCAGGCATGCGCAAACAAAAAACTTTCAAGCATTAATGCAATAAAACAGGCTAGAGGCGGTGCATTTTGATTTGCCGCAGCAAATGTGACATGGCCTCGGTGTTTTTGTCATGCGCAAAAACCGCAAACTCAAAGACAAGCGTAAGTGGCCGAAGCACTCGAGCTTCAAGCAGACTCAGCATGCCAAGCAGCGTGGACCTTGGGGCGGATGATGAAGTGCCGCTTCATCATCCTTCATGCGTAGGGCGGGGCGCGTCAATTGCGTGCGTAGGCAAACCACGGCCACCAGTTGCGAGCGCGCCTAAATGACATGGCAGAGATGACCAAGTGGGTTTTGAGAAACCGTGTTCCTTCAGTCGAGAGCTCGTGAGCCTGGGAAGGAGTCCTTGCATAGGCACTAGAGGCCAAGGTCCATGCACAGCTAATGCATCCGACACAAAACGAAACACGCAACACTAAATCTTGACAAGATTCAAAAACCTAGGGCACCGTTCCATCAATCCAAAGAATCGCGTCAAGGCATTCCTCAGCAGGCATGCCACACGCCAAGAACCGCTTTTTCCTGGCAAGACCAAGTGCGTGAACCAACAGTCAAGTAGCAAGCCCAATAGGACAAACAAAGAATACATTTAGCTCTGGTGCATCGCCACATGCATGAGCGGAATTCTCTCATCGTCCAAGGGTGGACGAGCTTGGCAGGCTTGGCCAAGCGCGTGCGATAGCCATTGTGTGATGCATCGGTTGTTGTATGCCTTGCCCGTCATCATAACTTCACCATCCTTCTTCAGGATCTCAGCGTCGCGCCGATTTACTGGAACGCGCGTCACGCGTCGAAGCGAGTGTGCAAATTGCGCGTCAACCGCTGCTACAGTAAACCACAGTTGCTACGGCAAATCTTCCTCTATGATTTACACGCGCTGTAGATGAGCATGAGCCATAGGGCCAGCCCCCCAAAACTGATAGGTTTCCACAAGGCCCCCGACCACAACTCAAGCAGAAACATAAGTGACAATTAACCACTTGTCCCTTTTTTGGGCTGTTCAAGGGTTGGGCGGTGAAACATTTTGTTGGTCACAAACCACAATGCGCATTCTCCACCTAAGGCAGCAAAGCGCAAGTACGACCACAACACCAACACACAAAAAGCTACCAAATAAAATCAAGCCACATCAAAACACACGCAAAGCAACGCAGACACAGAAGCACACACGAACACAAACGATCGCGCGTTTGCACGCATGTGTGTTTCCAAGTGGACGCGGCATGTGTGTTACATATGTGTGTAGGTGTTTGCAGCTGTGCGCGCGAGTGTGTGTGTGTGTATGTATTCACGCAGCGCTTGCTTGCATACATCTTATATCTGAGCGTCACGTGTGTGCACGTAGGTGCGTGCGTGTGTGTGTGTGTGTAGCGCGTCCGCGTGTTGATATTACTAGCGGCGCTTGTGCGCGCGTGTGTGTGTGTGGGTGTGTTTGCGCCCCGTGCTTGAAACAGTTTGCCGGCATCTGTGTGGGCGTGCGTGATTGTTTTCTGTTGCGTGCTTAGGGGCTTTGTGCGTGTTTGTGCGCGGGTGCGTGTGCGTGTCCGCGCGTGTTGCGTCTTGCAGTTTTCTACGCTTGTGCGTTCGTTTCCGCGCGTCTGTGTTTGTGTTTGCGTTTGTGCGTTCTGTGTGTGTAAGGCAAACGTATGCTGCTGTGTTGGTGAGTTTGTTGCACAAAAAACCCTGTGACAAACGCACACGAGAACACAAGGGCGCACTCAAGCGCCCGCGAAGCCATTTGACACGCAAACACAAAGTACACTCTCCAGGCGCACACACACTTTTCAGACGCGCACGCGCAGAAACACACCCCACACAAGCTCAAACACGCGTATAATTACACACACTACACGCACGCGCGCGCATAAACCTGGGTGCGCTTTGCGCACACGCATGCAGCTGAGTCACCAGACGAACCGTAAAAGGAGGTTGGGAGCATGGTATGGCATTTGATTTGCAGAACACCTGGAAATCGGGGAAGGCATTGTCCAAAAGACTTTGCATTGGTGTATCTGGATGGCCCCACCACCCGCATTCTAGTAGCGCCATCCTTGGCTGCAAGAGGTCAAAAACTATATGCATGCACGAACATCAACATCATCTAAAAGGCATGGTGTGACTGCAATATTATCTGCGTTTCTTTGGGATGGGGGCGGAGATTTAAAATAGCGTTTAGATATACTCGCTCGCTGAGATCAGACCTTGAGCGCTGGCAAGACCTAGGCTTTCTGAAGAAAAGGTTCCACACGCGCACCCACACACACACACGACACCTGTTCCTTGTTTTTTGCCACGGCGCAAGCTGGAGCCATTGGCACCATAGCACAACCCTAAATTTAGGGTGTGCATGCTGCAAAATTTCAGTAGGCCAGGATGGAAGCCTTTCACCAGGATCAAAGGGCCTCACAGTGTAGAACAATTTTTCACAAGCCTGGGAGGGAGAGCGGAATGAGCCAAATTCAAAGCTCTAACGTTGTTAACGTTTCGAAGCCTAGTCACAAAGATCTCTATCTGGCATTTCGTGCGCGATGAATTGAGCAAGTGTGTATTGCTGCGCCCAGAACGGCGCAGTGTCGTCAATGTTGTAGTACTGTTCATGTAGCGGCCCACTTGCCATCGCAGGGCATTGAAAGCATACACCGTGGTTAGCCCCTCCCTTCCAAGAGCTTCGAAATCGGAATAGTTCCTTGTGATAGGCCCAATCCGCTCTCACTTCGACCAATGCGAATTTCTCTCCATTTTTGCAAATGCGCTGCCCGGCCAAGGATTTGGCGAGGCTATTGGTCAGTGCCTCGCCTCTTGGCCCGCAGGATGGGTGAACACCATGAAACAGAATATTCAAGCTCCAAGCGATGTGGGTGTAAATTGCGCGCAAGGTGTGATGACGGTAAAGCAACTCTTCCTCCACTGCGCACAGTAGCCACCTGCTCGCCCTGCAGCTCCGCGGTCGCCACAAAGGGCAGTTCATCCAAATACCCACAATTTTTTGCACAGGTGCGAATGACACTTGCCGAACTCGTGCCCCATCCCCGTAGATACCTAGAGGTATATGATCATTTGACGCTGGATGCTCTACTGCCCAAGGAACGTTCAAATCCCTGAAATGCTTCCAATACTTGACGCAATCACCTTCGCGCAGGCGGACCCCAACAGTGTCCCACAAACACGCAATGAGGCTGTGCGGCTGTATCATAGGGATATCGCACATTTCGTAGCTGGACGCTGTCGGAGACGGTTTGAGCGGCGCCCTCACTGTCACAGTCTCCTGAACAATCTTGATGAAACGTTGTATTGTTCTTCGAATACAGTTACCATACTTGATTGAGACAGGAAGTGTGCTTTTTGTGACCCACCCCTTTCAAACCTGAGCCAGGCAAAAAATGTAATTG